TGGTTATCCTCTTCAATCCGCAGACGGAGGATCAATTGCTCCAAGTTCATTTCCTTTCGCTTGTGCTTAAGGTAGTTCTTGAAATCCTTCCAAGCCGGCGGCAATAAATGGATAATTGACGCCACTTAGAAAGACTCACTAACTGTCATTCCTTCATCTCGAATTTCGTTGAAGATCATTTGCATTTCCTCAACTTGACTCAAGACCGTCTTCGAATCCACCATTTTAAAATCAAGGAATCGACCAACAACAAATTTCTTTGCGTCGGCATCCTCGCTTTTATATTTGTGGTCCAAAGCTTTCCATAGCTCCGTAGCCGTAGCTAATTTGCTATACACGTCGTACAAAGCATCATGCAGCCCGTTCAACACATAGTTTCAGCAAAGGAAGTCAGAATGCTTCCATGCTTCAACCGCGTTGAAAGATTGCGCATCCACCTCACCTCCGATTGCTATCGGCGCATCTTCGGTCAAGAACCTTGCAAGACCGAGAGTAGTGAGATAGAATAGCATCTTTTGCTGACACCTCTTGAAGTATAACCCATTAAATTTTTCGGGTTTCTCCACATAGTTGCTTGGCATGGTAACCATAGGGATTGTCCCTTGGTTGTCCAAAGTAGATGCACCGCGTTGTGAACCATTGTTCACCGGTGCTCCACTTTCAGAGTGAGTGTCGTTTGGCACGTTCTGCCAACCAACATTTCCAATTTCTTGTGAAGTCGTTTTAACGTTTTCTTACGTTTACGAAATCACAAAAAAATAAGTTCGTTCACCAAAGTGACAAACTACGATTTTAAGATTGTTTACCTCAGTAGAACAATCACGGAATACGTTTTAAGATTGTATCCGTATGATACAAGCTTATGCGAATACGTTTTAAGATTGTTGGCTGCGTCTCGGAAAAATGAAGAAATATTAATTAATAAAAAATAGATTAATAAATAAAATAGCCCAAGAAAACCCAGAATATAGATGGAACAGAGTTTAGCCAGAGCTCGTGCTATGCACGATGTCCTTAAAACGTATTCGTCGCCTCCCACGGTGCTAGGAGCGTTGCAACGACTGTTTCCCAGGATACGGTGGCTAACGAACTAACGTTTGAGCACACAAACGAGAGTTCCGGCGAACGGGAACAAAGTAGAACACTCAGGAATTTTTTCAGAGTAGCTGGAAAAGTTTTAGAGCTCAAAATATGTGCAGATAGTGTATGATTGCATGTGTTGTTGCAAAGCACCTGCCAGCTATTTATAGGAGGATTTGTTGTGTGTTAATTGGGTGTTAACCCCCCATCAGTTCTGGTGCACGATCAGAATACCCCCCATCAGAGTGGGAGCAACTCTGATTCTACAAGAATACCTCCACCAGAGGTGGAGCATCTCTGGTACGAAGCCAACAGAATACCCCTACCAGAGTTGGAACACCTCTGGTACGAAGCCACCAGAGTTCGAGCAGTTCTGTCCGAGAACCTCTGGTCCTGGGAAAAATAAAACGTTACGGGAAGAAATAAAAATTAAACCGTATCTTTGAATGATAGATTTTCGGACGGCATTCGTGTCCGCAGGTCGCCCGCGCACACGAGTCGCGGTTTTTCTTCTCCATTTCGAGACTTGATCGGCACCCCCCCCCCCCTGCGCGTAAGAGAGAGCCTCTACCTTTAGGAATCTTAACTCCTTAAAAGAGGCTTCCCTTTACAAGGAGGTGAAAATCCATTTAGTTTTCCGGTGTGGTATAAAACACACTAGAAACCCATCATTTTCCCAGTTTTTCCATTTCAACGAATGAACTTCGAGAATCAATTTTTCTCATTCACCCGTTTATCCGTTTTGAGCGTACCATATATCGAATTGTATCCCTTAACAAGGACAATCCGAAACCACTTTGACCCGACCCAAATCGGAAGTGGACCCAACTCAAATAATTGCCCCAAAATGACCATTTAATGCAATGTTTAACACATTTTTCCAACACTATGTGTGAATGGTATTCAAGACGCCTTGTATAGTATGGATGTGTTGGACTGTAGTTGACTATTCATACTGTACGGAAGGTTGTTGACGTGTCCGTGTAGATCCGGGGCGTGACATAAAGTCTCAGACTGATTAGTTGCTCATTATAAGCTCTTTTGAAACACTTAGCATGATTCTGCTTTGGTTTCATCCTCTATTTTGAGTTTCTTAATTTCAGTAAAGCTTCATTTAACTTCTCATCTCATGCACCCATTCCTCCCATATAATGATGCTCCATATATATTGAGAATACACAGTAATTTGTCTTTGAATTTACCCGGCCTCCACCTGCTCAACTACAAGCCAATTATAGTCAAGAGACATAAACAAGCACTAGAAGCACTCCCTCAATTCTCTATACGTGGTTTTTAGTCTTTTTTCAAATAAATGAAATTGCATTAATAGAAATTTGATTGTAAAAGGCAATAAACCAGAGACATTACATAATCAACTTTAGTATCATGAAATAGATTAGGGGAAAGTGAGTATACTTAGATAGTGATTGCACATACCTGTAATTGACACAAATTGGACAATAGAAGGCAGATTAGGTTTTTCACATATATTGCATCTGCATTTTTCCTTTACATCATCCGAACATTCACTCACACAATCTTTTAGCTATAATCGTGTATGAAGCACACATGCGCCAAAGACATGAGAAGAGAACGCCCAGCAAACACAGAGACTAAGGGGCACTCAACGTGGCGAATGGTTAACCAAGCACAAGCTAGGTCGGAATCCTTGAATATAGCCGGCGCACGAAGAATTTGGTACCTCATCGACGTCGAAGGTGTCTTCCAGAAAGAGCTCTTCGTCTGGCTTTTGGTCAAAGGCGATAGGGATTGGGGATGTGGAAATTGAGGTGACAGAGTGGCTCTCAGACTCTCTAAGGAGGAGAGAGTGTGTTGAAGGAGCGCTGCCGGACTCTCTTGGGCTTGTTGTTTGAAAGGTATTGGTTTGGTCTGTTTGGCAATTTAAAAGTAAGGATAAAATGGTCGAATGAGTTGTAGTTATGTGCTACGCATAGTTGTAGTCCTAATTTTGGCAATTTCATATGTTTGTGTCTTATTTGTAAAAAATTTCCCTGATAAAAAATAGAGAAAAATGTTGTTCTTTGAAAAAATAGGAAAATGACTTGGTGAGTTGAATGAGTGGTTTGAATGTATAGGAGTATTGTAAAAACAAAAAGAAAAACCTTCTCCCCTTTACCGATCGTAGCCTTGTAGTTTGTATTGCATGACAGTCAAAGCTTCTGGTATGTACTTCTAAGGGTGTGTTTGGGAGTTGGGTTTTGGAGGGGAGGGGAAGGTTAATAGAGGTTTATGACCCCCTTTTCATGTTTGGGAGTTTAAAAAATTGGAGGGGATGCTTTTGGAGGGCTTTTGTAATCCTTCAAAGCCCTCCAAATGCTTAACTTTTAAGTTCCTCCAATTTGGAAGGTTTTGGTGAATAATTAACAAGATGGTCATTTAAGCTAAATTAAAAATGCATATCAACTCAATGATTTGAATTCATCATATATATCTCAAAGTGATTTAATTATAATTCCTTCAAAAATCTTCTACTTCCAATTTTATTACTCCCAAATACAAAGAAGGGCTTCATCACCCTCCCTTCCCTTACCCCTCCAACAACATACCTCCAAAGCCTTCTCCTTTCATTCCCTCCAAACTCCCAAACATAACTTAAATAAATGTAGCAACCGTGAGCTTTCTTGCAAGTCATCCATTTTGATAAAGTAGTCTTACTTTATCATTATTATACGTTATTTTCTTGATATAATTTTGTCCGAATTATGTTTTGGACTTAATTGCTACGTACCATTCCATATTTTTTTCTGCCACGAACTTTTATGTACTATTATGAATTATTCTTTGATATAGTAATGTGAATTGCTATTTGAATACACGTATAATTTGATTCTTTTTTATTATATATATGTTGTTTTGTGATCTATACAAATTATATGTTCAAAATTAAACACTAGTATTTTTTGTCCGATTATTTTTAAAAGAGAAAAGGGTCAGATAGGGACTCGAACTTACAAAAAAATGTCAAATAAGGTCTTATGTAGAACATTCTGTCCAGCCGACGCCATTTGGGGCGGTTCTCGGTAAAATGTTTCGATGAAATTTTGTGAGAATGTTATTCATTAAGTCTAGTTTAATCATACCAAATTTCAGCTAAAACTTCAATCGGGAAGACATTCAAATAAATTTTTGAAGGTAACTGCGCTTTTAACTGCGCACTTATCTTCAAGAATTTATTTGAATGCCTTCTCGATTGAAGTTTTAGTTCAAAATTGACATGAGTAAACAAGACTTAATGAATAAGATGCTCAAAAACTTTCGTTGAAAAATTCCACCGGGGTCTACCCCAAATGGCGTCGGCCGGACAGAACCTCCTATATAAGACCTTATCTGACATTTTTTTGTAAGTTCGATGCCATATCTGACCTTTTTCCCTTTTTAAAAATACTGCATTCTACACGTATTCGTATTTGCACATTTTTTAATAGTCAATTTTTTCAACAATTTTTTGACCATTTTTAGTTAACATTATATTAGCGAATAAAGCGTATAAAACATCGATTAAATTGAAAATCAATTTGGGACGAGGGAATATGCAATAGAAAAACAAACATATAATAATGGTAATTTAAGTTAAAATACTACACCTAATTTAAATAAGAAAACCAGTACTTCACCCCTTTAAAATAGGTTTTTATTTATCGTGTTTTTGTTAGTGCTCAAAATTAAATCATTAATAAAATTAAAATTGTGTCCATTACAATTTATTTAGGCTTTTGAAACTCTAAAAGGAATAAACTTTTCATGGGATCAAAGTCTCAATTCAAGGAGGTTTAACATATATCCCAATGAGACCGGCTTAGATGAGACAATGATAAAGCCATTCTTTTCTTCTACTTTTAATAATTCTTAAATTAGCTCCCAAGCAGAGAATTACAAACCGTATAAAGCCGTTCATTAGCTGCTTCCCATCCAACAATTCATTACATACATTTCAACAACTTGAGTAAATTTATAATCCGGCCGCCGTGAATCGAGCATTTTACACAGCGCAACCGTATAATAATGAGCTACTCTTCGTCTTCTTCCGCCGTCCAACGGCGGCAGCCTGGCCCACCACCACCACTTCGTACATCAATGCATGCACTCCTTGGCGGTGGAAACGGTACGTGCATGTACATACTTTAATTCTTTGTTAGAGCTAAAATATACGGAGTATTAATGTATTATTTAATTAATTGATTTTAAAGATGTGTTTGGTCGATCTAATGCGCGTTTGAATTGGAGGAAAATTCCCCCAACTTCTATATAATAAGGAGTAGCTCAAAATTTTCCCATTTCATTTTTTTTTGTTTCACATTTTTATATTAAAAGACTTCCATTTTTTTAATGAAATGAGTTTCATCCTGATTACTCCAAGTCCCCTCCCCCAGACCCCTAGAGTAAAAAAAAATAAAAATAAAAAGTTCTTTATTTTCCAAGGAATATTTAATTCTTTTATTTTCAATTAATGGAACAACCTTATCAAATAAATATTCCATCCCTTTTATTTTATACGCCTACTAGCTCGTGCAACGCACGTGAGGAAATTAGAGTTTTCATGGATCATTCAGCGTCAGTAATTAATACGAAGTATCTACTAGTACTAAGTATTTAGTATGTACAAAAATATTTCGGAGTGTGTGTGTGTGTGTGTGTGTATATATATATATATATATATATATATATATATATATATATATATATATATATATATATATATATATATATATATAGTCATTCTTCTGTCCAGCACTTTTCTATCCGAACACCGTTGTTTGGGGTGATTCCCGGCTGAATTTTTTGATGAAACTTTTTTGAGCATGTTCTTCATCAAGTCTAGTTTATTCATACCAAATTTCAGCTCAAAATTCGATCAGGAACATGCTCAAAAACTTTCATCAAAAAAGTCCACCGGGAACCACCCCAAAAGGCGGTGTTCGGACGGCGTTCGGACCGGGAGGTGCTGGACCTCAGAATTTTCCTATATATATATATATATATATATATATATATATATATATATATATATATATATATATATATATATATATATATATATATATATATAGGGGTTCAAATACAAAGAGGTCTTCCCATGCAAAGTGAGAATTAATCTTGTGCATTCATTTCTAGATCTAATGGCTCAAAATGAGCCCAAAGTGAACTAAATTTGATCAAAAATGCGGTGGCAATTACGTAATTAAAATGAAGTTTTTTGCCACCGCGAACAAATGCATCAGAAACACGCAAAAGTGAAACTATTCGCACTTTACACGGGATGGAGAATCTCTTTTTATTTGATCTCTTCCCTATATATATATATATATATATATATATATATATATATATATATATATATATATAGGGAGCGGATCAGGTGAGAATTGAGAAGTGCCCTTAGACTGAGAATTGTGAAGTTTAACTTATAGACTAAAAACACGAACTTTTAACTACTAAATCATAACCTATAGACCCCCTCGAAAATAATTACGACAATGCCACCGCAAAAAATAAGCCTGGAAAGCTTGGATTTTTTTGAACGCGGTGACATTTTCGTAATTATGATGGAGAGCTTTATAAGTTATGATTTATTGGTTATAAGTTCTTATATTCAGTGTATAAGTTTACTGCGTTGCAAGATCACATGCAAATCCAAGTGTTGAGATTACTTCTCACTTCTCATTTTAAGGGGCACTTCTCATCTAATCTTCTCTATATTCAAACTATATCAAAGTTGTGTTGAAAACACGGATATATTCAAACACGTAGTACTTGTATATATTATGGAGTATAATAAATTAAGTTGTGAAATAAATGCAATGTGATGATGATAATAATAATAATATTGATTAGTGTCATTAATTACTGAAATTCGAGTAAAATTTGAACATATATTACTATGAATGATTAACTATTATAATGTACCAGTGGTACCACTACAGATAAGAAATTACATTTTTATATATAAAATTTTTTTATTTTAATGATAAATATGTAATAATTTGTGGTTTAATTTGTGCGAGCATCCAGTGGCTGATATATTATTGTGGGAGAAGAAGCATGTGTCGGCAACAATATTGATTGGATTCACTCTCATATGGTTTCTTTTGGAAGTGGTGGAGTACACTTTTGTTACCCTTTTGTGCCATATTTCCATTTTAGCCATGGCATTTCTTTTCGTCTGGTCTACCGCTTCTGGATTTCTTGAATCCTGGTAATTAATATATATATATATATATATATATATATATATATATATATATATATATATATATATATATATATATATATATATATATATATTTACACACACATGCATATTTGCATCTTGTTGAAATTAAACGTTAGTTTTAAATTCTTATAATAACATAAATTATTATTATACGTATGTATGTAAGTAATGATTTAAAATGGAGGACTAGAGGCGTCATTTCCATTTCTTTTTATAATTTAAAATGATATATATGTCATATACTTCCTCCGTTCTTAAATAAGTGCAACAATCAACATTTCACACTTGCCGAGACACAACTTTGACCATTAATATATATAATTCTCCATTAGTAAAAAATTTTAAAAAAAAATTAAATAAAAAATATTAATACATCAATAAATAAAATGTAGTCAAAGTAGAACATGTGAATAGTGTAAAATTTCACATGTTGCACTTATTTAAATATTAAAATTTCACATAATTAAATAAAAACGAAGGTAGTATATTTGTACTTATTTAGTTGTTTGACGACGTTCTGTCTGCATTATATTATATAGGAGCCCTCCTGATTCTAAAGCTCTTGCAATATCAGAATCAACATTCAGATGGTTATTTGGGAAGATAAATAATTTCCTATTGACATTCTACGAAGTCTCTTCGGGATCTGATTTCAAAAGATTTATCTTGGTATCATTTTAGCTTATTGATCATGCTGTTACTTTATTATTATTATTATAATTATTATTGTTATTATTAATTTATTATTGTTATTATTAAACTCTGCGGGCACGGCATGAGTTTATTAATTTTGATCTTTTATTGAAATTCTTTGCAAGATATCCCGTACGTAGTATTTTATTTAATGGCTTTCTATCTTCATGCAGGCAATAACTGTCCTCTGGCTACTATCAATAATTGGGAATTTTTTCAATTTTTTAAATCTTATATACGCAGGTAAGAAGTGAAACTCATATTATATTGTCGTTTAATTATTTATATGGGTTATTCTAATATGACTACGTTTTTTATTTATTAATGTATTAATATATATATATATTGAAAAAAATATTGTTAAATTTGTCTGATTTTAATTTCTTGTGTACGTGATGTTAATGAGGACTATATATTTATATACACTTGCATGTTATTACTGTACTGTTTTAGGATTTCTGTGCATGGCGACGTTGCCCGTAATTTATGAAAGGTATCACACTGAGGTGGATCGTCTAGCAAGTCGAGGATTTCAAGATTTGAAGAGACTTTACAAAAAAAGTGGGGTGGAAGCAAAATTTAGCAAGATTCCCAAAGGACCGGTCAAGGACAGAAAGATTTATTAAATTCTCAATATACTCAAAGCTAGGATCGATATATATACATACATGTAATTATACATGCACTAATAAAAATCAGAGTTATGTACTCGAACATGCACTAAAATATTGTTTTTTTTTATTTTTATAATTATTATTTTTATCATAATTATTATGCACAGTTCATAAACTGTCGGCCGCAACATGAATACTAATTATACTACATTTTAAAATTAATTAATTAACTATAAGTAATTAATGAATTATTCCCACAATGAAAACATAACAATATCATACTTTTCGTTTTGTCCGGAAATCATTATTATATTTATTTAAAGACAAAACTTTGAAGTGGATGAAAATGTAAATTTTTAGACACGAATATAAATCCCACAATTTAATTTGTATATACAACCAACCACATATAGAGCTTAGCTAGAAATTTTAAACTAGTTTAAAGCTTTAAAAAGTGCAAAAGTTATACTACCTTCCTCCTACTAACGTTGATTGGTTGATGTAATTGTAAGTTCCTAATCGTAAGCTTTAAAATTCAATATGTATTTGAATTTCCTAATTAATAATTGTGTGTAAAAGGATGATAGATTTAATTAATAGAAGATTAACTAAATTATTTATCGGGCCCATAATATTGAGAATGAACTACCAAATATTTAGTTTGGTCATCATAATAATTATATAAACCCAATAAAATACAAACTAAAGACAAGAAAAATGATTGTGCAACCCAAGTGTCATTTTAACCCAACTTGCAAAAAAATAGCAATAATAATGAGAGACATCTTACACCCACTTGAGATATTCTACAAGCTAATTAGCCTCAAATAAATGGGGAGGGGGGACAAAATTGAGGGGGGGGCGTGCAAGAGGGGTTGAAGTCTCCTAGAGACAAATACCCATCCATGCATACCCCCATGTCCTACCTTTGGCATTATTCTCTGATTGATTGAGAGGTCAGAAGAGATGCCTCCCCACCTATCATTTGCTTCATTCGACCAACCCAAGAGAGAGGAGCTCAAGGAAAACAAAAACTCTCACAAAGTCATAGTTGGGGAAGAAGAAGAGAGGAAAATGCAAAGAGAAAAGGCTAGAGTTGAGGTAAGAACACAACTATTATTCTTTAACTAGTACTCCTTCCGGTCCTAAATAAACTTCATACTTTGACTTAACACAAATTAAGGAAATAAATTTGACTTTACTGTAGAGTACACTGTTGTGACACTGTTTGGCACTATTTTGCATTGTTTTGATGTAGATAATTTGCCAAATAAGGAAGGGAGAAGAAGTGTGAAGTTTATTTTGGACCTACCCAAAAAGGATAGTGTGAAGTTTATTTTGGACCGGAGGGAGTAAATATTTTGTTAATATGATTTTTAGGAAATCATATGGTGGATTAAACAAGAGGTTCCTACACGCTTGAAAGTGTAGAATGTTGATATAAAGTGTTGGTATTTAACTTAGAAGAGTCGTTGACTCGATAGGAGTTAAAATCATCGGAAACCGCCATTGAAGGAGAGATGTCTCGAGCTCCAGGGGGCAAATGCCGTCCACCTTTTGGTAAAAGCCGTCCGGCTTTTACCTGCTGTCCAACTTGTTCATTTTCAATCGGCCTAGATCGGGAATTGATCAAAGGGCTTTACAAAGGTAACTAGTTAAACACATCATAAGGTGATGATGACTGACTATATTGCTTATAATTAGTGAGTTGATTTCATAAGATTACCTAAGATAATTAAATGTGTTTTTCATGGATTATTAATGATTAATAATGCCAAAAATGAGGGGACTATGGTCTATAAAGAATAGGAGCATGATATCCAAATTTAGGAATAAATTGTGTATGATAATGTGTTGTGAATATGATGACATCCTAGTTAAATTAACTACGAAGCCTTATGATAAAATATACTTTTTACTTCATGTAAGATTATATGAATAAGTGAAAGTGATATTTTGAGTATTGAGAATAAATTATATTTTGGTTGGAAATGAGTTTGAATTGACTATATGAAATGAATTGAGAACTTGATTGTACTAGAATTAATCCGGCTAGTACTAAGATACTAGCCGTGATGTTAATATGAGATTATGATAGAATTTATCCTAAGGTTGGATTGTGAGAAGTTATGCCTTAAGTAGCCCTAAGAGATACTTTAAGGTGAAAATGTATGAACTCTGAGTTATATTAGGGGTAGATCTTAAAGGCTACTCAAGATGATTTGATTTATGAACTGATCCTAGATATAGGATTGGCCTACGGGTATTTTCGGTAGTCCTTGAGGATAGCCGGGTGAATTTTGGTAATAAGTAAGGACCATGACCCTTCTCGACTCTAGAGTGTGTGGTTGGATAACATGGACTTACAACGTGATCACGTGTAGGGGTGAAGTCCGAACCGGAGATCTTACGAGACTCCCAACAACGGTAACACTTAAGATAGGACCCCGAATGGACCATACCTTCCCACAGTACAATGGTTATGAGTCCAAGGTTAAGATATATATTGAACGTCGACCCGAGGACCCGATGAGGCCTCCGACAGCGGTGACAAGTCCCGTATGATTGATAAGACCTACGGATTGTATCGTATGAACGATGAATGAAAAGAAATATTAAAGGGGGCCGAGTGCCGACAAATTAATAAATTAACTTATTATAAAGATAATAAGGGGTAAAGATGAATTATCATTATTTAATGATATCACCCTATTTGAGGATCTTAAAAATTGAAACATTGATTATATACAGTAAAGTTGTAATTGTACTTTTCAAATGCTTCAAAGTAGTGACCCTCCCTTCGTGGGGGAGGCCACCTCGCAGTTTCAGGTAGAAGTTGAGCTTGCTACCAGTACTCATTTCTTCGGGAAGGATCTTGTAGTGAAGACATGGTTCATGCTTCCTCCATTCTTGTTTTCAAATTATGTGAATCCTAAAATATGATTTAATCTATTCCGATTGAACTATCTTTCAACTAACAGTTTTTGTTGTTACTTTTTTGCCTTATTTTTTTCATAAGTCAGTTTGAACTATATATTATGCCCATCATGTGTTTGTTAGAATGTTTCAATGGTAATAGAATTCGTTCGAGTCTAGAGTGTAATTTTATGAATAACGAATGAAACTCATTGACTACTTGTTTATTAAAACTTTCTCTATATAGTTATAGTTTTGTCCTCTTAAATTTACATTTTTATTAAAATTTAAACCTTCTAACCTTTAGACCAGAGTATGTATTTTTATTTAATAGTTATTGTTATTTGAGTAAAAGTTTTTTAGTTGATAGAGAACCTCAAATTCCAATCACTATGTATAGTACTTTGAATTGATGTAGGAAACCCAAACAATTGATTTGGGAACTCAAACCAAGGGCCTTGAAATAGAATAGTACTAGGGGTGAATAACAGTTGTTTTGTTGACTGAGTTTTCTTTGCCTTAATGTTTATTGCTTTTCAGTATAATGGATCAAGTTGATGATGTTGATGTTGTTGATGTGAACTCAACTCCATTCTTGAGCACTCTTTTTTTCAAACAATGGATTTCAAGTTGCCCTCCTGATTGTAAACCCGTTGTTGGTATGACTTTCTCTTCCTTAGGAGATGGTTTTCTCTTTTACAATGAGTATGCTTCGATGTGTCGATTTGAAGTGCGGTTAGGAGCAGATAATAAGCATCGAGATGGTACTGTTTTAAGGAAGTATTTTCTATGCAACAAACATGGTTTTAAAGAGGATAGTGTCAGTAACCAAAAGTGTGTGCTTAAATCTGAAAAAATGAAATCTGGTCAAAGTACATCTCGCCGAACTGCCCTAAAGAGAACCGGCTGTAGTGCTTATAAGAGAGTCCATTTTTATTCTTTTGGTTCATATGCAGTATACTATTTTCATGAGGCACATACACATGAGTTTACTACTCCCAAGAGTCAAATGTTTCAAAAGCAAAACCGTAATCTGACTATGGTTCATAAGAAATTTATTTTTGACAATGCAAAGCTTAATAAGGGAGCAAGTTTGTCTTTTCATATGATGAAAGAGCATGTTGGTGGGTATGCAAATGTTGGTGCTTCGTTGGTTGATTTTAAGAACTGTTATCGTGATTTGAAGACATATGTTAAATATGGAGATGTGCATATGTTTATAGACTGTTTTAAGCAAAAGATTGCTCATTCGAGTGGGTTCTTTTTTGATTTTGTGGTTGATGAGAATCAGAGATTGACTAGGTTTTTTTGGGCAGATGCATTATGTAGGAAACATTATGCTTTGTTTGGTGATATGATTATGTTTGATTCCACATTTAGCACCAAAATATATTCTATGATTTTTGCACCTTTTACTGGGGTAGATAACCATCGAAGATGCATTACATTTGGTTGTGCCCTAATTGAAAATGAAGATGTTGATTCATATACATGGGTTTTTGATACATTCTTGCGTTGTATGGGTGGTTGTCAGCCTGTAAGTATAGTGACAGATCAAGACCCTACATGGGTTTCATATAAATTCAAATATTTTTACTTACTGTTTGTGACAGGCAAAAATAGAACCGCTTCCCATATTGCTGGTCCGTTTTAACTCCTCTACATTGAGATAATATGCCCAACAATTTACAATTGCAGAAGGAATAAATTTTCTAGAAGCTAAGAGGAGCATATCTTCCCTTGTCAGAGAAAGACTCTCATTGAATCTCACTATAAACTCTCTATAAAAACGATGTCAAAAAATATTTCAACTTATTTCAAACTATATTGTAACCACTATAAAAAAATGGAAAGTGTGTAGCTATTATAATAATCAGTTTATAATCTAAAATAATGTAAGGTTATGGATTCTTACGCTTTCTCCATTGAATTCTCATAAAAGCAGTAATCAAGAAAATGCTTGTCGTACTGTTCTGTATTTTTGAAAAGATGAGAACTTGTGTCTTGCATGAACTTTGACAGGAATGTCATGCACTCTTCAGTTGCTCTTTTTTCCCTGTGCGTATCTTTCACTTCTGTTTCCACATTCCCCATTTCTATGTTTTCTGCATCTCTTACTTTTTCATGATTTTCCACTTCATTGGCTTTTGTAGTGTTGTCTTCATGTGTGCTTGCCTTCATATCCATTAGCCAATCAACAACAACATCCACAATTTCATAAGTTTTTGGATCATTAAAAATTTTATCAAAATTTTTTGTTGATTGTGAGCTTTGTTGTTGGTTGGCTTGTTCCTGTGAGTCCATGTCTTGTATTGGAGATATATGAGCCCTGAACACTACTTCAACATCCCTCTTTACAAGCATAAGAGTTTTATTTTTTTCCTAAAGCAATATAAGGACAAAAGGTAACATTAATAACTAATATTTATCTTTGTAATCAACATATCGCTTATTAGTTATTATCATGTACATTTACAACACATGATAACTTTTAAATAAACTTTACTCACATCTTTTGCTTGTCTCTCAATTTCACTATCTATTGGCATACTCTCTCGTATTTCAAATTTAATGTACTTCTCTCTGCTTACAACTATTTCACCCCCTCTCCTTACTCTTTCATCTTCTTTTTCAAAAAGACTTACTCTTTCTCTTGAGATTGGATAGTCATTATCTACTGGTATCTACTGGACAAAAGGTAACATTAATAACTAATATTTATCTTTGTAATCAACATATCGCTTATTAGTTATTATCATGTACATTTACAACACATGATAACTTTTAAATAAACTTTACTCACATCTTTTGTTTGTCTCTCAATTTCACTATCTGTTGGCATACCCTCTGGTATTTCAAATTTAATGTACTTCTCTCTGCTTACAACTATTTCATCCCTCTCCTTACTCTTTCATCTTCTTTTTCAAAAAGACTCTCTTTCCCAAACTCTAAAGCAATGGCCTGAAAATGCTGGTGATTCTTATGTTGCAACAACAAGACTTCCTTCCGATTATTGGTCTACATCTGTAATAGATGAGCCCTATGGAAGTTCTTGCGGGTCATGTTGACCTGCAACTGACTCAAAAAGTGCGTCGGTGTCCTAGAAAAATTCAAAAACGTTGGGAGTGATGTTACTAGACACGACGTGATCAAATGAAAGTTCAGTGGCATGGGGTTGAGGCCACTGTAGTCAGTATCACTTGCCTCAGAAAGAGACAGTAATGAGAGACGCGGTTCCTCGTGAAATATGATTAAACACCTGTCTGTTGGGAGACACGTGAGTGGTCTTGGGTAGGATTAAGCATGCACTGTTGGACAAGATGCAGCGACTTCTACTCGGGATCTGATTAAATCAGTCCTGAACCTATTTGGGAATTGTCCAGAGTATTTGAGCGGCTAGGAGTAAATGTTCAAGACATAGCAGACAGTTGAGGTGGCAGACTCATCATTGATTATTGTTTTCCTTCTCACTTGAGCCTTCTGCTTCCTAACTCTCATAATGATTACTCACTCACTCACTCACTTACTCTCGGCTTTGTCCCTTGGGTAGGCTTAGTTGGGTTTACTAAGCCATAGGAACATGTTCTCTCATTGATTTTCTCTCTGTACTCCCCCTCAACTGGAGCACTCGGTATGCTTTGTCATTGTTAGGCACCGGGGAGGATAACATTGAACACTCCCCCCTAGAATGTTGCATCCGTTGAGAGATTCCTTGCTTTGTCGGTGTAAGGCGCCAGGAGGAGAAAACTGAAACTCCCCCTCAAAATGTGCAAGGATTGATTGCTCACAGCTCGTCATACCCGCCATGTATGTGGAGCAATCTGAACAGGTACCACACATGACGGTTTCTCAAAGCTCATCATTTGGAATTTCAGCATGTTTGAGGATCACACAATGTTGATGAGTTAGAGGAGGCTTCAGTAGTTGATTGTTGATTGTTGTAAGATGACCATTGACGCGAGGTTGATTGAATTATCTACGATTTTCGGACCTCTACAGTGCAGCTTAGACCTTAGGTTTGATTTTGGAAGAATTTGAACAGATTTGCCTAAGTTTTGACCTTGACATCGGTGATTTACAAAGTTTGTCGGAAAACTAACGTTTTGACCCTCAAGGACTGCGCGTGAGGGAGCGTGAGAATGGGTTCTGGGGCATAAATCTTTTAGCCACATATTCCTTACTTTAAATGGAAATGGTAAATCTTTTTGGGACATCCAAAAAAAGAAATTTGGCCAACCTTTTCGGGACGGAGAGATTATTATTTGTAGAACCGATAATGAACTAAACTAAACATTAATAGTTTAGTTCTCCAACAAATCATAGCTAAAATCGTTGTCACATAAAGACATTCAATGTAGCACTCCGGCCCCACACAACCCGAGGTAGTTACTTGATGAGCCTTTTCCGCGCACTTTGTCCTCACTCGTGCGCACCCTGAGAAACATCTCAAGGGGTCACTCATCCCAAAACTACTCTCGTGTAAGTACGCTTAACTTGAAGTTCTTAGCGAATGAGCTCCCTTAAAAGTAGATGCATCTTGTTGGTATGTGTAGTAGTATTAATCTTTTTAAATTAATCTCAGGTGTTACATTCAACTTCAATGTTTAAAATTATAAGAAATATAAACACTCTCAATGTTGTCATCCTTAATTTCAAACTTCAAAAGTTAAGTTTCAAGCATATATACCTAACAAACTGAAAAATTAGTAAAAGGAAAAAAGACATTACTACAAGAGGAACCAATTATCAAGTTATCAACTCTATTAACCAAACTAATTTAGTGAATTTAATATATAAAAATAAGTAATTAAATGCGTAGTACTTTATATATACTATTAAGTAATAAATTTAAACTTAATTACTACGTACGGAGTAGTATATAACGATTCATTAACGTTTTACATGTTTTTTTATATGAACAGAAAACTGAACCGTTAATAAAAATAGGAACCGAATCGTTAATAAATACGGAGTAACTAATTAATGTTGGAATGGATTTGTTAATTCTTGATTTCAAAATCCTAACCCTCTTGTAGGATATACGATAGGGATTGAGATCCTATGTCGCAAGGTAGAGGTGTCTTGCAGCGACGGCCGGCCGAATGACGAAGAAGGCGTCTCGAGATGCGGTTCTTCAAGATCTGATTTTTTGATCGGACGAGTCTAATAGGCCAGGCACCCTACCTTGTAAGAAAGAGTTTCTGAGTTCGATAGTACTCATTCTTTTAGAAATATACTACTCCCTCCGTCCCAATTTAATTTGCAAAATTTCTAATTTTGGTTGTCCCAAAATGGTTTTCCATTTTCTATTTTAGGTATGTAAATAAGAATAAAGTTACAAATTTACCCTTACATTTACTTTTTCACCATTAACCTAAAGACATCTACTTTTAGAAAGATGGGCAAAAGTGTAAAAAACAAGCATCATTTATTGTCATTCCTTAATCTTGTGTCGGTTAAAGTTTGTAATTCAATTCGGGATGGAGGGAGTATCGTATATACCGTGTGGGCCCTTGGCAAAAATATGCACATGTGGTCAATATTGGAATTCTTTTGGTCAAACACCCAATAGAATATGAGGGGGGGGGGGGGTCCAGTCCGCGTCACTTCTACGTGGACTTGTAAATGTTGTTTCTTCAGCGTTTATATTGTTCCGTCCAATTCTTTCACGATTTCCACTTCCCACAGCTCAGTACTGCTCTAGTCAGGTAAAAACGAGGGGGGAAAGCTCATTTGTGATGGCGGAACGACACTTCGACGTAGACGGCCTCGAATCTCTCCTATTTTCTCCAGACAGAGATTATCTGATCCGAAACAACGGTGATCAGGTCAGTATTTGCGTTTTTTCTAACAAAACAATTCTTTTCTACATTAAAACATGCTGTTTAGCTAGGATTATTGATTTGTAATGTTTGATTTTTTGATCTGGAATGCTTTTGAATTTAGTGATTAATTCCTTTGAGAAAAAGGGTTTTGCTAATCACATGAAATGAGGATATTCTTCATTCAGCATAAATTTACAATATTTTCATGTAAATTTAATGTTTCATAAAACTACATAATCATAAGGGTTGCGGTTAAAATTTACTTTTAGAAAACTACTCTGTGTTTGCAGTGTTTGCACATGTGACTAATTGTTATTGACTAATTCAGTAGAGTGAAGTGGATCTACTGCTGTTGGTATACGGACTAGTAACTTTGCTGCTAAGAAGTCAGAATCTTTATTCTTTAGTAGCTTCTTGGTGTGTGATTGAGAATGAAAAATCTAAGAACATGGTTAACCAATTGTTTTATTACAGGTTAGCAGTAGCCCGGTCAGAATGAGACTACCTGTATTTTATTGAGAATGTTATACTAACTCCTTACCCCCCAAATATGATTCTTAGATCGGTGAGTTGCATCCTTAAAACTTTATTGATTTTATCAGGTCAAATCTGAATACTTGAATGGGAAGACGGTTGGAGTGTATTTCTCCGCATCATGGTGTGGTCCTTGTCGGCGTTTTACCCCAAAGTTAATTCAAGTGTACAATGAAATCCTTTCAAAAGGAGATTTTGAAATCGTATTTGTTTCTGCTGATGAGGATGAGGAGTCTTTCAAGGGATACTTTTCTGAAATGCCTTGGACTGCAATCCCATTCTCTGATTCTGTTACTCGTGACCATCTGGATGGTTTATTCACTGTAAGGGGAATACCCCACCTTGTGATCCTAAATGGAAGTGGAGAGGTATTAACAGAAGATGGTGTTGATGTTATAGTTGAACATGGTGTGGAAGGTTACCCTTTTACTAGAGAGAAGGTCAGAGAACTGAAAGAAGCTGAAGAAGCAGCTAAGAGGGAACAATCATTGAAAAGCATTCTAGTTTCTCCATCACGTGACTATGTGATTGCAGCTGATGGGAAGCAGGTCCGGCTTTTAAAATGCTCTCCTTTTTTTAGGTTGTCAAAGAAAGTGATCCTATAATTATTCTTTAATAGATACTAGTAAGTGTTTTGTGACTTTTGTCCATTAGAATACAGTTTTTTTTGTTTTGGTTTAGTTCCTTGTGAATTTCTTTTATGTTTTTCATCCATATAGCTTATGTTGTTTTACGCGTATCCAGCTCTCTGGAAATAAATTACTAAGTATTTAAATCGAATTGATGTGAAAATGCTAGATTGAAGAACAGTCAGCGATGTTATTTTGTAAATGGAGGTTGATGGAAAGTCGGATAGGGACTAAAAAGAAAACACGAAAACTACAAGTTGAACAACAAAAAATATATATTATAACCCAAAACCAAAAACACTATGTGCATGGACGATAACATATTTAGACCGTTATTTTATTATATTTTATTATGAAGTGATTCCTATGCTGATTTTATATTTATTTTGTCTTTATTAGGTACCTATTGATGGTCTTGTAGGCAAGACCGTTGGCCTGTATTTTTTTCTGTCAACATTCAGCGGATCCTCTGCTTTTACTCAAAAGCTGGTTGAAGCTTATCAGAAATTGAAAGAAAATAAAGATTTTGAGATTGTGATGATTCCCCTAGATGAGAATGCAGAGTCATTCAAGGAAGCTTTTAAAAGCTTACCTTGGCTTTCTGTTCCTTCAGGAGATAGAAGCTGTGAGAAGCTAGTGAGATACTTTGAGATCTCTTCACTACCCACCTTAGTCATCATTGGTCCAGATGGGAAGACCCTTCAGTCTGATGTTGCTGAAGCTGTGGAAGAGCATGGGTTCCTGGCCTATCCTTTTACCCCTGAGAGGTTTGCTGAGCTTGAAGAGATTGAGAAGACTAAAAAAGAATCACAGACACTAGAGTCAATTTTGGTTAAAGGAGATGCCGATTTTGTTATTGGAAAAGATGGAGCAAAGGTGAGGTACCTAAGACACTTGTACTTCATAGGTCTTACTAATCATCCCTGCATGGAACTACTGCATAAATTGGACTACATTTGTTAGATAGTTAAGCAATTCATAAATTTTTATACCAATAAAAGTTAATCTATTGACTCATTAGTATTGAAATGGTGTATAACAACTTTATCTTGGTATATATAAACTAATTATAGATATTGCAAATACCAGGTCAATGATATTAGGAAGGGCTCATTTATGAATATTATACTGTGGCACAGTGCCCCTAAATAAGTTAGTTAAGTTCATTTATGTTAATCAAAACTGCATAACATTGTCTTAGATGTGTCTAATATATACGCAGTATAATTTTCGTCAGAGCAATTCTTTTTATCGAAATACAATCCAGGCCACTACTCATTTTGGAGCAGTTATGCAAATGTCACACATAAACACACACACACAACACAGACACACTAGTCTCTAATATTTATAATTTGTTCAGTATCCAATATTTTCTCCAACCTCGTAGAGTTTTGTTGCATCAAGGAACACCTTTTAAATTTTAGTAGTTTTTCAAAATTTTATTTGTTGGTTTAACTACTCCGTATTACTTGTTTGGGACATCTTTTTGAAAAAGTACAATAATATACGGAGTAATAAATTAGCATTTCTTTTGTCACAATGCCTCTTTTGGGACCAAAAATACAAGGTTCTAAATACTCCCTCAGTCCCATTTTGTAAGATAATTTTTCTATTCATTCGGCCAACACAAATCACTCTTAATCTCTTACTTTATATATCAAATTTTTATCAAATTTGATTCTGGTTTTTGTGACTTTGTAAAGCTTTTAATGTAGTTTCTGAATATGTAATTCTTTTTTTCTAAAAATAATTTGAGTGCGGACAGGGATCTGTTTGCTTTATCGTCGGTCAAACATCGTAAACCGTAAAGTGCCTTATAATTCAGGATGAGGGAGTATTAATTTTTTGAATGAATAGTATTATAATAGGATACGGGCTTACGAAAAGCTTCAAAGTTATAGTTAGAATAGTTTATGAGTTTCATACTTTCATAAACGACCCAAATTATCAAAGAATATTCTTCATGTTTAGCATTGTAAAAGAAAAAATCATAAAAGAGCCCCATTATCATTCAAAAAGCCAATGTTTCCTGATAATTGAATAAAATGTCCTATCATCATTCATAATATAGTCCTAAAGGCCACGTTAATAAAAGTTAGCATTTGCCATTTTATACTCATCATTTGATTTTAATACGGAGTCCTTATTTCCAATATAATTCTTGAGAAATGCAATTTTTGGAAAGAAACAGTTTGGGAAACGGGTTCTTTAATCACAGGAGTTGCTTCGTATCGTTTCAATATGTTAAAAAACGTGTCCAAGGGAGTGGCTGACTACCTGCGCAACATAGGATATTCATGTGAATACATATTTACCATATACTAATTCTGACAAGTAATGGGAATGTTACACAGATTCCAGTGTCTGGTCTTGTTGGAAAGAATATACTCATTTACTTCTCTGCTCATTGGTGCCCTCCTTGCCGTGCTTTTCTACCTAAACTCATAAAAGCATACCACAAGATCAAAGCAAAGGATGATGCATTCGATGTGATTTTCGTCTCAAGTGACCAAGATCAAACCTCCTTTGATGACTTCTTTTCAAAGATGCCATGGTTGGCCCTTCCTTTTGGTGATGAGAGGAAAGGGATTCTAAGTCGCCTTTTCAAAGTTCGCGGAATCCCGATGTTAGTTGCTATTGGGAAAACAGGCCAGACAATAACAACCGAAGCTAGAGATTTGGTGATGAGTCATGGTGCTGATGCATACCCCTTCACCGAAGAGCGTCTGAAGGAGATTGAAGCAGAGTATGAAGAGATGTCAAAGGGGTGGCCTGAGAAACTCAAACATGCCCTTCATGAAGAGCATGAGCTTTTGCTCACGAGGCGTATGGTGTATAATTGTGATGCTTGCCATGATGAGGGACAAGGATGGTCATTTTATTGTGATGACTGTGATTTTGACCTCCACCCCAAATGTGCTCTGGAGGAAAACATGGAGGCGGAGGCCACAGAAGAGAACACAAAAGAGGGGTGGGTTTGTGATGGTGAAGTTTGCAGGAGAGCTTAAACAACTTTCTATGCGTTACTAGACGGGTGATGTTGCCATATATTCCAAATGTTGGTCGGATATATGCGATGTTCTACTTCGATTATCACTATATATGTGTGGTTTTCATGTATGTTATTACATGGAGTATATGTGGTTTGAATGTATGTTAGGTTTTCAGATTATCAGAGTCAGGGCTATAAATTTAGCCCTTATGTAATTATTATTTGAAATATCAATAAGATTGGATCTTTTATTGTTTCCTAGTTTTCCGGCGTGCAGTGTGAGTGTATTGTCTGGAGCACGGCTGGTCCCGGGGGGAACAGGGTCGACGTCCTAGGCCCAAAAAAATAGAGAAAAAATACTTAAAATAAGTCCAATTTTTTTAAGTTATAGTGTGATTGTGAGAGTAAGCTTCTTGATGTGAAAGTAAGCTTCTTTTTTCTATTTTTAAGTTAATTAATTAGGCTTAATGTTTACTCACTCCATCCCAATATGATGGTCTCATTTCTTTTGAGCACAAATTTTAATAAAGTTGTTGAAAAGGTAAAAGTTGTGGTTGAGATTTGAGTATAATAAAGTGAAATGATATGGACCACATCTTTCTTTCCAAAAAGGGAAACATGACCATCATTTTGGAACATCCCAAAAAGAAAATACATGATCATCATTTTGGGACGGAGGTAGTACTTTTTATTGATAACTTGAAAAAATTATAATATAAATTAAAAGTTTTAAACAAAACCAAGTTTAGAAAAAAGAATATGCATTAGTTTTAGGTAAGTCCAGTTGTAGTTTTTAAAGCAACACAATCGTTGTTGAATCAATAAAAGACACGTATCTTCTGTCTTCACATCTATTTAGCTTTTAATGATTTTTATTCCTTTTAAGAGATTATTATTGCTGGATAATTACTGTTAACCCCTGAGGTTAGTTTAAAATCACTAATTCAACCTTGCATTTTAAATATCAATTATTTACCCCTTGTGTTTTGGTTATTAACACTATTTAGCTCTCCAATCAACTTAATCATATTTAACTTCATATATTGTTAAATTAATTAAAAGCTTTCTAAAGTATATGCTTTTATCATTCTAGACAATGTTCTAAAAGGCAGCGAAAAGCGCCGCCTAGGCGAGAATAGGCACAACGCGTCTCTCAAACGCCTCGCACACCGATTATGCGTGCCAAAAGGCGGCCGACTAAGTCAAGGTCTCGATTTGGGCCGTTTAATCCAGTATTTGGTCGAAAAGCCCACAAGTGCCTTATCAACACAACCTTGTGGGAGAAGCCTAATTTATAGAGATATGTTATTGAGTAGTTCATCTCCCCTCCGGTGTGGGAAAACTGAATGCCTTGAGTAAGCAGTTGTGTGGGAGAAGCATAATTTATACAAAAATGTTATAGAATAGTTCAGCTGCCCTCCGGTGTGGGAGAAATGTTATACAGAGTACTTCGTACATCCAGCAAGTGAGCAAACCAACTAGTCCATTTGTTATTAAATTGAAATTTGTTTGATAATATACTATTATCCTAAATAATAATGATAATAAGAAGAAGAAATGATTTTATATTTATAACTAAAACAGTGATTGATTATAAAAATGTAATTTTTAAGAGAAAGTGACTATAGTGGTAACTTTATTTTAAGTTACTTGTGTTTAACTTTTATGATGTTTTTGCATATCTTTATTTTAATATTAAATTTAAATATTTATAAAAACTCTAGGAAAACTAAAATAAAGGATAAAAAATCAAAACGCTTTATCACGCCTAAATCCCGCCTAAACCCGCATAGGCTCCAAAGGCTTAAGACTTGACCGTGTCGCCTCGGGACGTCTTACGCCTTTTAGAACATTGATTCTAGATGATCCCTCATCATGAATATAATTATATTTGTCAATTTCTTGGTATTTCTTCCTGGCTGCACGCAGAAGAAATGTCATTGAAATTAATTGAGCTGGATGAATTACAAATAAAACTTTATATTCATGATGAAGATATATCTATAGTTTTAATAAAACGCTTTCTAAAGTATATGCTTTTATAATTCTAGATGATCCCTCATCAATCATCATGAATATAATTATATTTGTCAATTTCTTGTTATTTCTTCATGACTGCACACGGAAGAAATGTCATTGAGATTAATTGAGCTGGATGAATTACAAATAAAACTTTATATTCGTGATGAAGAAATGTCTATAGTTTTAATAACACATTTTAAATAACATACATTAGTGTATCTCATGAGTATTACTTGTAAGTCTTCTCTCTTAACGGTGCCAAACAGTGTACTCTACAGTAAAATCAAATTTATTTCCTTAATACTACCTCCGTCCCTTAAAACTTTGCCAATGTTGACCGGTACGAAGAATAATAAAGTAAAAACTGTGTGGTTGAGATTTGTGCAGAGGAGATGATTAACAGAAACCACAAAATAATTGATTAAAAGGGAAAGTGGCATAATTTTTTGGGACGTCCCAAAAAGGAAAGAAGGCAAAGTTTTAAGGGATGGAGGAGGTATGTGTGAAGTCAAAGTGTCAATTTCTTTTATGTAATACTTGTGTTGTTAGTTTTTCCAAATATGTAATTTAAATAATAATAAAGTGATTTTTGCTTTTATTTTATGACCTTTATTGTATATTTTTGTTATAATTCATATTTTAAATAGGGAAAATGGAAAGTAATACTCCATCATTTTAACGGTCTTCTTACAATAGTCTCACCTTTTGATTACTCATAAATAATTCAACCTTTGCCCCTCATTTTCATTCACTGGTTCCTGACCGGTTTATGACCTGTTATTCCAAGTTATTTTCTTATCTTTGTAAAACATTATACCATAATTCTCACCTTATGATCACATAATGTTTTGCAAAGATAAAAAAATAATTTGGAATAACATGTCATAAATCAATCAGAGAGCATTGAATGACGATGGGATGCAAAGGTTTGATTATTCATGAATAATGAAAAGACGGGACTATTGTAAGAAGACCGTTAAAAGGTTGAATTATTAGTTTCCATTTTCCCTTTTAAATATGTATAGTTTACAATTTATCTTGAGTATAAGCCCAATATATTATATTGTCCATAGACTCAAAAATGAATATGACAGCCCGTGGCCCGTGGGCCGTGGATTTTGACCTTCTAAATCCTAGGAGTAACCGGATTTCAAAACCAACCCTTAAGCATAGTCGCCTACCACAGAACATCTGCGCGACCCACCACCACAAATCTCATCGACGGAAACCTCATGTGCCATTAGCAAAGCAAGGTATACAAACTGCACAACAAGTGCACAACTCCTCCCTAAATCTACCGTTCTCTGCTCCACAATTTTTTGTCACTGCCTGGCAGCCCGGCACTACACTGAACTAGGGGTGGACTCGGGCCAGGCCAACCGGCCCGGAACCGGACCGGTCCACCACTGTGCGGGCCCGGACCAGCCCGGTGAACCGGTTGATTGGCCGGTTCGGACCACCCGGCCCGGTGGATTCTCGGTTCGGGCTCGGGCCCTTCAAAAGGTGAACCGGCCCGGCCAGTTCGGGCCCGGGCCGGGCCAATTTTAATTTTTTTTGAATTTTTTTTTGAGTTTTTGGGTTGAGCTGGGTATTTTGGACCATTTGAGGTGGTTAGGGTTGGTTTGGAGTGAGGGGGAGGGGTGGGGGTTAACTAGGAAAAGTCCAAAAAAAAAAATATACCCGAGGCCCGGCCCAGCCAGGCCCGGACCCAGGGGTTACCCGGGCCGGTTCCGGGCCTCCCATACCTTGAACCGAGGCCCGGTCGGTTCAAGGCCCGAACCGGGCCCGGCCCGAACCGAGTCCATCCCTAACTGAACCCACGCACAGGTACTGTTTCTACTATGTACGGAGTATAATAATACGTACAAGAAACAAGGTGCGCAACCACGACCAGAAATACAAGTAATTCTCAGCACACCGTGGATGATAACAAAACATCAGAATCCCTTAAAAACCATGTTAATGTAAACAACAAAATCAATAATCCTTTTTCAAATTAATACACCATTGTATTCAAATCTAGACATGACATTGCATATATCCAACTCTTATAGTCTTATACTACTTCAAAATGACCCTCAAAGGGGATGATGATGTTCATAACCACACAAGACTTGGGTAAAGAAAGCAGATAATAGCGCCACCTGCATCCAGCAATAGACAGAGAGAGCGAGAGAGAGCGACAGAGTACTCAACTCTTCTAACGGTTTAGGCCTGCAAGTAAATTAAAGAACATTGCAACATCATACAAGGAAACACAATTTTTAAGAAAATATTTCACTTTCTACGGACTGAAGGCTGTATTTTCCACTTTTGGTGCACGACTATGGATTTCTTACTACTTTTGGCCAATTTTCCAATCACTTTACATAAGTTAACATTGTGCGTGTTGCACAAATAGTGGGAAAATGACATAAGATTAATGGGATGAGAAATGAAAATGACATCAGCTGTGGGACCAAAAGTGGAACATTCTCTAGTTATAATGGATGAGACCATAAACTGTTTACCAAGCATCACTTTCTAGTGATTACCTTGTTGGCGATGTTGTTGGAGAGCCAATCAAGCCCTTCATAGAGCCCCTCTCCAGAGGTTGCACAGGTGCTCTGTATGTACCTGCAAAAAAACACCAAAATAACTAACTATAAAATGATAAAACTATTTAGGTCAGAGGGATCCGTCTGAAAACTATTATACCAGTGGCGCTGCCTGAGAGAGTGGAGACCAAGCTTATCAGTTATCTCAGCAGCATTCATTGCGTTTGGAAGATCCTGTTTGTTAGCAAACACAAGCAGCACAGCATCACGAAGCTCATCCTGCATCAATACCAGAGGATCAACATCATTAGCCAAACAAACTTCACACTTCAAAGCTGGGCTGGGTCCATTAACATTAAGCTCAGGTTAAGGTCGAGTTTCTATGAATAGATACTCTTCCATATGCGTATATGTGAGAGAGAGATCAAGGGATACAACAAGATATACCCATTCATGCAGACTCAATCTCAACTGTTAGATTCAAGTTCAAATGGTTAAGATCTTTTTACCTGTACATTAAATGCTCACTCACAAAACATTGAGCATTTGTGATTTGGTATGGAGTAATAAAAAAAGTATCCATCGATGGAGAGAACCCATTGAAAACTCTTTGTTTTAGAAAAATTATTTGTTCCTTATTTTGAAGATAGATTTGAGGGGAAAGGGGACTGAAACAGTGATCGCATACCTAAAGTGAAACTAGACAAAAGTTTTTTTAGCTTTTTAAAAATAATAATGAATAAAACAATTACTACTGATACTACTGATATTATTTGAAAAAATAAAAAAAAAACAAGATTTAAGGATATGATCCGTAAAAAAGTAATGGAGGTGAGTAAATCCCCAGTTTTTTCAGGTGTTAGTGTGTCAAAACTTCTTATATGCAACAGACAACAAGAGGCGGAGTTTCAAAAGCTCAATAAATCTCTCACATATGCACATAAAGGCAGTTTTGAAAGCTTAAGGGTACTTCTGGAGTTCTGGGTAAAAAGTGCAATCATCCACAGGCATAAAAGAGGAATCTTACTTCATTCAACATCCTATGCAACTCATCCCTTGCCTCCACCACACGGTCTCTGTCATTACTATCAACAACAAAAATGAGACCTTGTGTGTTTTGGAAATAGTGCCTCCACAATGGGCGGATCTGCCAGAAATGGGAAGAGGTGGACATTAAACAACAGATTGCAATGTAAGCAAATCGATGCAGTTTTATGGAAATAGAGCAAAAAGAATTGTTCACTAACTTCATAAGTTGATTTTCAATTCATTTATTATATAGAAGTCAAGAAATCAACAATTGATAAGAGAAGTAGAGGAAATCAACACAGTTGATAAGAGATGACATAATTCAGATTTCAGCATACCTTGTCCTGGCCCCCAACATCCCAAACAGTGAAGCTAATGTTCTTGTACTCAACAGTCTCCACATTGAAACCTGCAGGTATTTGATTAATATGAGATACATCAATTATTAAAACCTGCCAAGTAAGGCGTGATAATAAAAACGGACCCTATATGAAGCCAATGATGATGTAAGATGGTAAAAGAAAGCAAGAGAGAAGTTAGTCCTGAGCATATTAGGCTTCTGAAGTGTATTATAGATGATAAGATCATAACAATATTTCATAACCAGGTATGAAGAGATCAAAGCAATATTTCATAAAAACTATTAGGCTTCAAAGACAGAGTTATTACAAGTTTTTAAGAACGATCAAAGGTGTCTTGGTGAAAAGATCATATCAATATTTCATAACCAGGTATGTTGTCATTAAAGCCAACACAACTGGAAAACAGTAAATCCTATAAACAATTTCATGATTTCTATGTGTATTATGGATAAGTATGTCAAACCCACGCGTCCACACTTTATACAATGAAAAAACATCAAAACTGATTAGTGTGAGATCATACCAATAGTGGGGATGGTAGTCACTATCTCTCCCAGCTTGAGCTTGTACAATATAGTTGTCTTACCAGCTGCATCGAGACCAACCATCAGAATGCGCATCTCCTTCTTGGCAAAAAGCCTGCTGAAGAGCTTGGTGAACGTGAGCCCCATTTGTCCTTTTTTTGCTGATGATCCCTGCAAATCATCACATCAAACCACAAAACCGGATCAAATGATGAAAACCAAACTCCCACATGTATTGTCACATCAAGGACATAAAATGCAAACGATTTGGTGAAAAATAGAAGCAAGTCATGGATCTGAACAACAGGAAACAAAATTAACGAGTGTACATTTCAGCGACCAGAGAATCAACCTTGCCGGATCCCTATCTCTAATTCATACTTTCATAAGTAGTTACGCAAATGTGATCTAGTTACACAAATAGATCGCACATCATATACACATATCAATCGCTAGATCGGGAAATAAAAATAAAAAATTTAATTCAAGTTATAGAGAGAATTTTCAATGGTAATCACAAACCTCTAAATCTGAAACGAACAGCCTCACATCAAACTCATTTGTGATAAAAAAAAAACAAAAAGATATCAGCTTTTTTAACAAAAGGATTTCCAAATAAAACTAGAACAATCTAGACGGAACTCATCGAGCAACCTAATCCAAAAAATCAAACACAAACACCTTCGGTATCAGAGGAAAATCGCAACTTTCTCAGAAGAAAAACAGAACATACTAAGCAGCAATAACTTTCGCAAAAACACGAAGCCGATCAGAAATGCGTACGATTCAAGGAATATGTGAAGGAATTTTACCTTAGAAAAGCTTGTGGGAGAGGGATCTAGAGAGAGATGGAGGGAGGAATGAAGCCAGAGATCAACGCACTGTGCTGAAGAAGATGAGATCCTGGAAAGCAGACGCAATAAATAAAAGAAAGACGGGTGAGGTGAAATTACAGCGTTGCCATTGCATATTCGTTTTTATTTACGGTAATACCAATCCGTTCAGCGGTTGTGGAATGCTAATGATAATCTACCGTTGGTTGTTTTATGTACGCTATAGGCCCAATTATTGTATACTCCCTCAACACATTCGAAGTTGACACAATTTCAATACTTTTAAATTTATCACATTGAAATTTGTGGTTTTATGATTGTAACTATTTGAAAATAAGAAAGTAGTACAAGTTTATAAAATTAAACTTGCAATAATAGATAAAAAAAAGTTAATCTCGTGAAAAAATTAGTATCAACTACATTTGAGATTTCCATTACAAAATGACACAGTTTTTAAAAAAATATTTGGGTTGTTAAATATGATAATTAAAATATATTTTTAAATATGATAATTAAAGTATATTTTTAGAAATAGTTTTGATTGATATACAATATAATTGGGTTGATTATAATTTTGTTGTTATAGATATATTATTTTTAATATTTGACGATTAAATTGTTATTTAAAGTATTAATTATTTTCTAAAGTAAAATGTAAACCTTTAGTTGAAACGACTAAAAAAAGAAAGTATAAACCTTAAGTTGGGATAGAGAAGAGACATATAATTTAGGTTATAATGTTATAATTGTAACTCACAAAAAGAAACGTCTCAATAAGACAGAGAGAATATACAATCTACATGAATGTTCTTTGAATAGGTTTGGGATCATTTGCATATTAAAAACTAGTAATTACAAAAAACTTAACTATTAATATTGATTCAACTCTTATAAAAATCCAAAATTCATTATAGAGTCGAATCAAATTAGAACGGTTAGGTGGTAGTAAGGAAAGACAGACTTTTTATAGGGGAAGTCAATGGCTTTGAAACACGGGTGAGGAAGTGTATGGAAACGATTGATGAGGAGAATTGTTGCAGGTTGGTGATGCTGCTATGGGGTCTTTGGAAGAAAAGGAACACATCGTATGGAAAGATGAACATGCGGGTGAGGCTTATCGGTGGGCGTAGCTCAACTGGTAGGAAGGGAGTGCCACAAGGGTTAGGTCCCGGGTTCGAATCCCGGCAACTACTATGAGGGGTTACTGTGCTAAAAAATGCATAGGCGTTGCACAATGGTTTTCGCCACTCGAGGTCGAACATTGGTATCGACCTCACCCTCGGCTTCGATGCGAACGGTGAACTCCAAGAAAGAGCTACAGGGCTTTCTCCGGCGACCAACGCAGTAACCACATAATGCACTGCTCCATCAGTGACACTATGGAACGGCCTCAGCGCAGGTTTCAAGCTCATGACCAGGCTCATGCTTTTCTCCATTTTCAGACCCCAAATCTGTCGTTCTGGAGATGCAATCAGCGACACAGGAATGTGATTTCAACGGAGGTAGAGAATGCAAGCTGTAATCCCAAATTCTCAAATTCGAGAATCTCCACCATTAACTGGGTTTGAAGTTACAATTGAAAGCAAAATATTTCAATTCACTATTATGGATTGTAACCTTATGCGCATTTTGGAAATGAAGAATGGATTCACATTTTGTTATTAACATATGCGCAAAATATTTCAATTCACTATTTGGTTGAAGAAATCCATTCTTAAAATTTTACCTGTGAGGATGTTCAGTGCTCTTTTCAAAATCATGAATCCGACCCTGAATCGGATAACACTTTGAGGAGTACTATTGAGATTCAGGATACTTCATAGGGCACATTAACTTTTGAAACCAAGAAGATATATGTGACATATATACTTGAAACTACTCCTCTTCAGGTTTCCTTTTAACCTCATACTGAACCTATATTAGCGGATGAATTGGTTTTTCCTGAGACTGCATTTTTGGAACCTAATGCTTCGGGTGGAAAAGATCCTGAAGTTACGCATGTTCAAAGGATACTTTCTGATCGTGAGCTACTAGACCGTGTTGTTAACACTGAATGGGACTCAGCCAGTTCTAGATTGCTACCTCGACGGAGTACTCGTCTCAAGGCTAAAAATTTGGCTGAAAAATAGGGTTGCTTCTATCTTTTCTGAATTAGCTTTTGATTTTTTTTTTTTTGGGGGGGGGGGTCTAATCTCTTTTGGGCATCTCAATACAATTCAACGAGGAGCTAATCGTTTTACTTTAGGGATTTGCAAGGCCTTTTAGATTGTTCACACATTAGCGTAGCGTTTTTTGTTTCTTTCATCATCATTCTGTACTCTTCTTAATAAAATTTTAATAAAAATCTGCTAAAAAAATTCTAATTGAAACCAATTCATCCGCTAATAAAGGTCCCAAAAGGATCTTTTGGAATTGCCATGTTCACTCATAATGAAGAGTACAAAATGATGATGAATTGGTTTCAATTAGGTTCCAATTGAAACCTTTCGTAAAAGATTTGCGAATCGCGTGACCCATGCTTTAGCTAGGGCATGCGTTTCTAGTCCACGTCTAAGGCAAACCTCTCATAGTGCAAAAACAAAAGATATGAACTATGTATGTGACATTTGTCAAATGATCCATTTAAATATTTAATAATGGAATGTACTTAAAGAACATAATAATCCCATAAATAGTGTAGGGATAGTTAAAGTAGGAGAAAGAGGGAGTAAAAAAATTGAAAAATAGAATAACCAAGAAAGGGAAACTGTCAATTTGGTCCTCATACTATCACGAAAAAGTCAATCAGGTCCTCACTTTTTGAAAACTCGATTAAATCCCCAAATTTTGTAAAAAGATTCAATTGAGTCCATTTGCAGGTTACTTGGCATGTCAAATGATGACGTGGCGCACACGTAGCGGTCCACGTTTACACCACATCATCAGCAAATGACTGGCTCGACTTTCACATGTGCGCCATGCCAGCAAAGTCACTGCTGATTGGGCTGACGTCATCAAGTGACCTGTTGACATGGCAAGTAACCTGCAAATGGACTCAATTGTACATTTTTACAAAGTTCGAGGGTTTGATACTTTGATTGATTTTTTTAAAAGTACGAGCACCTAATTGACTTTTTCATGATAGTACAAAGACCAAATTGACAGTTTTCTCTAGGGATGGACCCAGGCCGGTCCGGTTCCGGTTCAGGGCCGGGCCCAGGGGGCTTTTTTTTGCAAATTCATGGGCCCGGAACTGGCCCGGGTTGATACCGGGTCCGGACCTAACCGGGCCTGGCCGGGCCGAGACCGGTTCGATGTCTATTTTTTTTTTTGCTTTCTTGTTATCCCCCTACCCCCCCCCCCCCTCACCCCCACCCCCCAAACCTCCCCAAAACACCCAGCCCTAGCCTAGGAAAAGAAAAAAAATTGGAAAAAAAACGGGCCCGACCCGAACCGCCCGCGCCGGTTCGCCAAAAATTGGGCCCGAACCCGGCCCGCCGACCCACCCAAACGGGCTAAAAGCCCGGAACCGGCCGACCGGTCCTGATCCGGTCTGGGCCCAAACAGTACAGGGCCGGTTCAGCCCAGCCCAGTCCATCCCTAGTTTTCTCTAAGAAAAAAGACGAAAAGGTGATGCTTTTGTACTAGTATTTTTGTAAATAAACAATAAAAGTAGGATGAAACTGTTAAAATTGAAAAAGTAAAACAAATAATACTAAACAAAAAGGAGCGAAACAAGTAAAAGTAATAGATAGAGTGTTTTTATTTGTTATATCGTTTTTAATCAATTTTAGTTCAATATATTTGGAACTTTGTTATCAAACTAAGCTGAGATGTCATTGATATTGATTTCAACAAGGTAATGTTAATGGCTACTCCTATTATAAGTGATCGGACCCAAAAATTGCTAAATATTGTGTTTATAATCTCATTGACAGCCCAAATAGATCTAATCCAAAGACACTTCTGAGTGGATTCAATCCACAAAGAGACAGTGTCTAAACTCTCCATGAAGTCCTTTATATGAATAGATCCATAATAATCGGAACAATCCAAAGAGAAAATGCTATTGTAATAGTCCAACACTTCAATTTCATGGTCACTGTTCCATGCACGTGTGATGCATCCTCAACAAAAAACAAGCCTTCACGTTACTCAAGATAGTTAATTACGTTGCATTATTAGCCAATTATACTCCCTACGGTTTATACATAATACATGTATACCAGTAGATTTGCAGATGACGATAAGGTTAGCATAATTAAATACTTAACCAACTCGCAATTTGCAAATTTGGAATTTCATAGGCACTGAACACTTTTAAATTGCTGACACAAATATTAAAGTGCTAAACTAATGATCTAAAATTAGTTCACAACGTTAATTTGCGTAAATCAGCCGTGTCAAATAACAGTGTGCTTGCAAGTTGCAATTCATGATATTGTTCCATTGGCATTGTTGTAGAACTCCCCGCTTAGCCTGAGTTAAAGCATGAACCAAACAATAGAAAATGTTCCCCTCCAATTATACCTCTCATGGTACAAAACAACCATTTAGAGTTTATATACTGCTGGACTAATTACTAAATAGGCTCTAAGGCGCTAAGCTCTAACCTGCAAATCAGTAGAAGTCGAGTAATTTTTTCAAAACGGCTATTGATAACGAAAACATGATAATTGGCTAATTGCATCATAATCCACGTCATATTTCGAACAAAGCATGTAGAATTTGATGGGTAATAAAGGTTATATACATTTGTACAGAGGCATGTCAATTTTAGTGGCATAGAAACAAAAGAGCAAAAGGTTACCCACCCCTTAAATACAGCTTCTATAATGCATCATCATGTGTATGTACACTTAGCAGCCAGCCTCGAGGAGTATAAGAGGCAGAGTGTTACCCGAGTTGCTCTGTGAAGATCATTCATACGCTACACAGTTACCTTTCAGCAGATTGTTACTTCCATTCTATTGAAGTTATATAGATATGACCGTTTTTGTAGAAACCTGATCAATTTTCCTCCATATTCTTAGTATTATCATGTCATACATACATTACCGCCAATACTGGGCCCAGCGGTGGATCGTTTCAACCATTTGTGGAAATAATGCACTAACACTCTCGTTGATGAGGTCCTGGAAGAAATGTATGCATTCCTCGTCGTCCAAATCTAACCGGAACTTCTCTTGAAGCTATATGTATAAGAGAACTCACTCAGTCTCAGGTCAGAAAGAAGGAAAAGAAGAAAAACATAAGCAAGGGATTAAATTTGGCATCTTCCCCCAAGTCTATCCTAATATTTTACATTGCATCCCACATTTTCATTTTATTTTACTTTGTGGATGAGAAGTCAGATATAGAGAGGCAAGGTAAGCATGAGGTGAAAAGTCTAACAAAAATTTGGTGTTTGCGTAATTGCGTCATATGTTAACCCCCAATATTTTAACGTGCACCCCCACTCATGGCACAATGTCAAAGAAAATAAAACATCTGGTGCAAAGTTATTAGGGTAACCATGAGGTGCAATTCTGAATTTCCCAAACAGTAAATGGCAGGTGAATTGGAAGAAGGCAACACCTTAAGAATGCCCTTTTCAGGATCAGATGCTATGTCTGGGATATTGGAACCCGCCATTAGATGAAACAAGTTCAATATTAAGTTGCTTGATTTCCGGAGAATATTGTAAGCTTCACAGCAATAGGATTTGAACCTGGTATAGTACTGGCTGCAAGTCAAGAAGAACACAGGGTTTCAAACAATAGGCATAGGGTTGCTGTATCTACACAGAAGATGTATTTATTCACAGTAAAAATGATATCGAATCCAACCTATTTGATTTTCATGATATTTTATTTATAGTATTTTATTACTCAATTAATAATGTATACTATCGTATTTTTTTGTATTATTTAATTATTTGAATATTATATATTCTTAGTATCCAAATGCCATCGGATCAATTCTGATATCAATATTCAAAATTATGCAAATCTAAAATTATCATACAAAATCAGATCCATGTGTGGAGCTAGAGCCAGTGGCAGATGAGGGGGGCCATGCTGAGCCTTGGCCCAGTGCAGTTTAACTTAACATCTTAGGGAGTAAAAATAAATAATGCTACCCTGGTGTTATTAAATTCAGGCCCAGTGTAATTTCGCCTACTACTCGTCTACTGCTCTCTCCATCTTGGCTATGGCCGTAGCTAGAACCAACATCATTATAACATGTCCTAGACTTGTGCTACACAAGAAGGTAAACACGCAAACTTTACACACTTTCTTATACACACCTCTATGAGAAGACTGTCGGTGAATCCTGTTCACAGACAAAACATGTTGGTGAATATATTCACAGACAAAACATATCTGTGAAGGGGATTCGCATACAAAAAAAGATAGCCGTCTCACAAAGATGTGTATAAGTTGATATACTTATTTGTGTTTTCAGGTAATATTCATATTCTGCTTTTCAATTTTTAATTTGTAAACAAATTCAAATCGTGAATCATATGGAAAAACATTTGATTCTTTTACATCCCTTGGCAAGAGCAATATATTTGTACTACTTCATTTTCATTTCATTTTCATTTACCCCAGTGCCGCAAAGGCTCCCACCTACGGTGGGGTAAGGGGGGTCGGATGTACGCAGTCTTACCCCTGTACTAAAGCACAGAGAGACTGTTTCCGGATGACCCATAGTGAAAATCCCGTCCAAAATTGCATGGACTGACTGCTGCTTCATAACAAAGAAGCGCAGACAGTTTAGTGAGCCATTTTGCTTTATTCCATCATAATCTCAAGCCAAAAAATAATGAATCTTTGGCTCCATTGCAAATGATGGAAAAATTATATTTGTACTACTAGTAAGAATAAATTCTTAAACTGAAAAAAGGTGGTACATAAATAAATGAACACCTTTCTGCTCCACCCATAGCTTCTACCATTTCTTTGCAAAGCTTCATAGGCGGCGGAAAGGGCTTTGGATCTTTACCTAAAATGAAACCAAAATCAACATGAAAAAGCCTGCCATCATCTCTGAGTAGAAGATTGTCAAGATGCCTGCAAACCAAGAAAGTTAATAAACCGCTTCATCTATTTTAAACACATTCAGAGAAATTAAAAGGGAAATTCAATATAGAAATTGTTTTCAGTTTACACGACAAAGTAAAAACATGTGCATTTTCACTTGAAGCACACCTATCTCCAATACCCAGTATGTAAGTGATGACTGAATAACCAGCACAGCTTTTAATGAAGGTTTCAAGACATGTGGATGTAATGCCAAATGGACCATCCTCATCAGGATGGAATTTCTGCAGATAGCTCGTAATGCTGCGGTGTTCAGAAAGAATCTGGAAATAATTGATTATTATTGTTAACATGATAGTATGGGTTGTAATAATGCCTCCAATAGACACCTAGATATAAACAATAAATAATACTCTCCCCAAATTTTAATGTTTGCAACACTTTCTTTTTTGGTCCGTATTTAAATATTTGCAACACTTTCTCTTTTGGTAAGTTTTGTATTTAAAAATGCACAAGTACCCTTACTTTTTCATCATATCTTCTACCTTTCACACTTTTTCTATACTATTCACTACCCCTACTGTTTCACCCTTAAAGTTTGTGCAAAAAGCTAATGTTGGAAACATTCAAATAAAGTTTGTGCAAAAAGCATATGTATTTCATTTTATTTCCCTATATATTTTTAAGCTTATGTATTTCATTGTATTTCCCTATGGGTAAAAAATGAAAAGGACCAAGTTAACTTTCTGTACAATTCCATCAGTACCCTTCCACTAATGCATATGAACTTCATTTATATTGCATACAATTAGGGGCATTTTTCGTTTTAAAATAATGAGAGTCGTTTCTCTCCTCTTTGTCCATCTAACCAGACAAGGGAATAAAAGTATTTTTCTTCCCCTATTTCTCCACTTTATCTCTAAGCAAAACAATACTTAAAACCCATTTACTTTCTCGTCTCTTTCTTTATCTTCACTCTTCTCAATTTCTTCTAAGCCAAAACAAAGGAAAAGACACAATTCACTTCCTTTTCTTTCGCTTGTTTTTAACCCGACCAGACACACCCAGCTAGTAAGATTACTAGGAATTTATGCAAAAGCTCCGTAGGAAACAAACATAAATGTTTTTCACCCGACCACCCTTGCTCTCGAGTCTTGAGTTAATGAGTTCACAAATCTTTTAAAAATTATACCACAGGAATAAGAACAAAAATAACCATTGGGAGGAAAACAAAACAAGTAACTACTATTAGGTTACCTGCGCCAATGACTTAGATGGTACAAATTCCATCATTCCCTCATCATGTCCAGTTGCCAATACTCGATACGGAGTAAGATGCAGATCCAAATTTTCCAATTTGAGGAGTCTGTCCATAAGAGATACCATTTTAACAACCTGCAGCAACCACAATCATTATTGCTTTACCTTGTGATTTTATATATGTGCGTGCAGTCTTCACTAGTTGAGCAGAATTGGAAAGGAAGATCATAAGAATTAAAGAAACCATCAAATAACCATATAAAGATGTTTCAAGCACTTTGCGTAATATTAAGCATATACCAATTGGTCTTGTCGAAGATCATCGCCCTTTTTAAAAATGATCTTGCAACATTCACCATTTGCTGTTCGGAAAGCGAGCCGTAGTGGATTCAATTTACTTTTGAATATTGATGACTCTGATGGAATGATCCCAGTGATAATAACGTATGGGGTAAGAGGAGATCGTATTGGCTGAAACCACAAACCATGACTTACTCATTAGATGCTTGATGCCACATGTTCCAGAGCTAAATATATGAAGAAGTTCCATATTAAAGTATACCTCATCAAAGTAAGTAAGCTCACTAAGAAGGCCAGAAAGAAGTTGCCTAAGCTTTTCAATCATCTTCTGCGTCCCACCACGGACATTTTTAACACCTCTCATTATCGAACATAGTTTAGCTGTCAATTCATTCTGCCGCTCTAAACTCTGCCATAACTTAAAACCGTCATCGTCTCCATTTTCACTTCCTACCAACTGCCATTACGCACAATAAATATTACATACACGCATTACAACCACAAAATAGGAAAGATGTGGAATCAAGAGTTGAAAACTACTTTATAACCCTTCTATCGTCTGCACTACAGTTTTTGTATGTGTAAGGATAGGAGTTGAGTGCTAGATCATATTTATTTCAATATGGACCAGAAGTAATGTGGACAGATACTTTTTTAGAACTTTTAACTCATAAAGCATCCAAAAATATGGATCTCTTGCACTTTTATGCAAGTGAAAAGTGATTATGCTTGTGAATTCACTCTAAGGAGAGAATAAAGGGGAAGGAAATTTGGGGCACATTGAGTGGTTTACAGTGGGACTGACCCCTCAAGGATGGCAGACAAACTAAAAGGAATGGTTTCCCTTCAAAGTAAGAAAAATAGAGTGAAGAACAAGAGTTAAGGTGGTGGGCAATGAAGAGAAAATAAGAACATGTGGGGAAAATCATGAAAAATGAGCTTTTTAATTTATAATACTCCTGCCATTTGCTTTTAGTTTGTTCCACTTTCCTTCATTATGTGGTAAATAAATATTTGTGGAAGGACATAAATGCTTATACTTTACATGTTCTCTCTCCAGCTCTTAATAATACCAGTGTCACCAACTTTAGACTACTCTATCAAATTACCCTAAAACCCCATAAGAAACCCAACTAAGAAAGGACAGAGGAAGTATATTTTTTAATCTACTGAATAGAAAATAAAGGTGGTTCTTCAAAAATACTTCTCGTTCGGAAAGAGGAAGTTATTCTCCATTGAAATCAAAGAATCAAGGAAAACATTTCGCCAATCAAACAGATCCTAAAAAATCCTGGATTTTCTAATTTCTAGTGTTCGAGAACGGAAACACTTCCGCATTCTTTGCATTTTTTTGGACAGTTTTAATTTTCATAATGTTGGTTAAATATTGTTCCCTCCCCATTTTGTTAGATTAACTTTCTTTTTTCTCCACCCGAAAATTATAATTACTTTCCTGATTCGAAACCCCACTAATTTTTTACGTTCCCAATTTATTCTATTATCCTTCATTTCACACATACGGAGTATCGCTTTTATGGAACCCATACTGTTTCTTCTTTTAGAAAATCTGCAATTACAACAACAACAACATTACCCCAGATAAATATTACACTATGGAATTGGGGAGTATACTATGCATAAAACAATTATTTTCCCAGAAAACATTTACGAAAAAGAAAACATTTTCAATAGAAACTTGTTTTCCAACTAGCAAATGAAGCTTATTCTATACTCTTGTAAAAATGATGTGTTAAAAGTATTCCTTTGAAGGGATTCAATAAAAATACAACTGTACAACATTTTACTAAAACAATCAACAGTCGACAGTCAAATTAAGAAAAAGCACTGTAACTAGAACCTTCAACATGCTCTCTTCCAGAAGTTCATAGGTACAATAAAAACGTTTTGCATATCCATGATCATGCAGCTCCACTGCAACATACCAACGAAGAAAGCTAGCCAACTCGATATTGCGCAATGCTGCAAATAATTTAAAAAAGTAAAGTCGAATTATAAAAGCAAGAACCGCACCCAGTCCCACCTGTGTTTACTGTTTGGTAGGGGTTGATATGAGAAATCAAAACATGGTCCTTCAATAATTAATAATGGGATATTATGTTGCAACTTATCACATTCCTATATTTGAAAAAATACACGTTACTTCATAGAACTTAAATAACATGGTCCTTCAATATTTAATAATGGGATATTATGTTGCAACTTCTCACATTCCTATATTTGAAAACATACATGTTACTTCATAGAACTTCAATAACTACAAATCTACAATAAATAAGGGCATTTAGTATTTAATCTTCTATATCTTTACATTTAAGCAATTCATCCATTCACTTTATTCGCTCCAGTACTTTTTTCATGAAATTAGAATAAAGTTGCTGTGGTAGTGAAAGTAGGAGAGAAGATGCAAATGTAGGAAAAAATTGGAAAGGGAGCGTGAAAAGGTAAGGGTATTTATGTCTTTTAGAGATGAGAAAGTATGAAAAGTTGCCAAAAATGAAAAGTAGAGAAAATAATAATAATCTTCCATAAAAGCTCATTTTCATTTACCCCAGTGCCGCAAAGGCTCCCACCTACGGTAGGGTAAGGGGGGGTCGGATGTACGCAGTCTTACCCCTGTACTAAAGCACAGAGAGACTGTTTCCGGATGACCCATAGTGAAAATCCCGTTCACAATTGCATGGACTGACTGTATGCGATTCATAACAAAGAAGCGCATACAGTTTAGTGAGCCATTTTGCTTTATTTCATCATAATCTCAAGCCAAAAAATAATGAATCTTTGGCTCCATTGCAAATGATGGAAAACTCTTCCATAAAAGCAATGTTTAAAAAATCGACCCGGACCGGCCGGGTCGACCCGGAACACGGCGACTCGGACCAAAACCCGGTTCGGTTAGTTAAAAACCCGGAAATGGTCAAAAACTGGAAAACCCCGGCCGACCCGGAGAAACCCAGTCCAAACCTGGACCCGAAAAATCCGACAAACCTAGAAAAACCCAGTTTTGGTTGTTTTTCCAAAACAAAGTAATTTTTTTAAGAAATTAAAACACTTTTAACCAATAAAATTCCTATTTCAATACCCTAAAAAGAAAAGAAATGCAATATATTTATATACTACTTAGTAGTTTAAGGATAAATATCATGTCAAATTATACAATAAATGTACAATACAAATAACAAATACGGAGTATCATCATATGTAAGATATTTTAATAAGATCAAAATGATATTTTGGAATATTATGAGACTGTTTTAACTTTAAATGCTTAGTAAGTATTATCATTAGGTGATTATTATGAAATAACTACCTTTAATTATTTTAATTTTGTATACACTTATATGTTTATTATTAATATATGATTGACTGGTTTTATGGCGTTGACCGGGTTGACTCGACCGGATCCGAGTTGACCCGTGACCCGGTCACGTGGCCGGGTCGCTTACCGGTCCGGTTTCTTAAACATAGCATAAAAGGAATGTAAAGAAAGTTAAAGTGAACAGAGGGAGTATGAGAGAACTCCAGAGAAACATCATTCAATGAATAAAGAAACTCATTTAACTCCATTGCCTACATACTACCTCTGTTCTTAGTAAGTGCAACATTCCCTTTTTCACATTTGCCGATGCACAACTTTGACCATTAATATATTTAATTCTCTATTGGTAAAATAATTTTAAAAAATCAGATTTTGAAAATCTACGATAAGACAAATTTAACAATATTTAAAAATAATAATACATTAATAAAGAAAATGTAGTTAAAGTAGAACATGTGAATAGTGTAAAATTTAACATGTACTTATCTAAGAACGGAGGTAGTATATAATTTGAAAAAGTTGGACCCCTAGAGGCCAGACCCTAAGACATGGCATTTTCCTCATAGTAGTTATGCAGTTTACGCCCCTGCCGAGTCCCTGTACATTTCTAAGAATGTAATATGTTACAAGAAACGTACAGCGTTGCACCAGGAAATGGGAAAGCCGAGATCTATCAGAGCGCTCAAATCGAAGAGCTTGAACCAATTGGAGGAGATAACACTGAAGCTCTTCATTATCAGCTCTTTCAAGAACACTAACAGCATAGGCACGGACCTGTCAATTAAAAAATAAGATGAAGATGCGTGCATAAAAAATCATTTCTATGGAGATGAAGAAAATGCAAGGGATTTCTAACCAGAATAACACGAATAACACCTACCCTAGAAACATGAAACCAGTTGCAATAGAAAAAAGAAGAGTCGAAAATTCAAAATAGCTACATATGTGGCATGCTGCATTATTAGAATTTAGAAGGTGAAGTTATGACACACACAAAATTGATTATTGATGTGCATCCCTTTAAAGGACAAGAAGAGACCCAAAACCCTAAAAAGAAGAAGCGTTTTCAATGAAATGGCTTGCATCATAACAGTATTTGTGCTAGGGTAAATAGTCTCCCCTGTTTCAAGAATACTCTTGGCAGTAAGAATGGGAAACAAAAGAATAATGCCTTAAAAGATGGCAACACAATGGGGTCAGGAACTTATTTCTTTATGAATGTTAATAGAACAGGCATAATATAAATGCTTAAAACCCCTAAAAAGAAGAAGCGTTTTCAATGAAATGGCTTGCATCATAACAGTATCTGTGCTAGGGTAAATCAGTTCCCCTGTTTCAAGATTACTCTTAGCAGTACGAATGGGAAACAAATGGATAATATCTTAAAGATGGCAACACAATGGGGTCAGGAACTTATTTCTTTATTAATGTTAATAGAAGAGGCATAATATAAATGGTATCTCAGTGTAGTTAAGTTAAAAACAAAAAGTCATAATGGTATATCAAATGCTGACCTCCTCACTTTCAAAAACAGGAGAGAGAAGCTCTAGTGCATCACAAGTATCAATTATTTCCCACTTATGCATTAGCTCTAATGCCTGCTTTGCTTCCTGTACACGGATAAGCATATAATAATCAGCCTCATAGAGTTTCGCATTGCATTATTGTAAGTGCCAAAATCATACTTAAGGAGCCAAGGGTAGACATTCTTATCATACAATCAAGCTTTCCTTCTAAGGATTAAGAAAGGGTGGTTGGTATGATAGGAAAAATGGAGAATATGTCTTGTAATGATACCTGAACATCACTCCATTCAACACAACGGAGAAACTTTGTCAGAGCACGCTTCTCAGACATTAATGAAAAACGAAATTTCCATAAAAGTTGCCTCTCATCACCACTCAAAGCTCTAGTTGGTGGATATTTTAATATCCTTTGTATTGATCTGCAAAGCATATACAGCTTTGGTCCTTATTTTCCACCACATTAAAGGAACAAAAACTTTAAAGTTGAAAAAAAACTAAAGCAGCAAATAGCAAGCTTAGGTACAAAAAACATTTCACACATTACAGGTGGAGAAATGTTTGTGGCATTGCATGTTATAATTGCAGTACATCATCAGAAATGACATTTTCATACGAGATATATTAAATGTATGGATGTTTGTGTATATGCAACAACTCTACCAAAGGGCGTTCAATCAAAAAATATAATGGTTATTATTTAGTGCTTACTTTCTTTCAGTAGAACTTGGTTTAAGATCTCTGTCAATAATTCCACGATTTAAGCTCCTTGCAAGCTTTAGCTGCTTGTGCTCTGATGGATTTATTTTTCCAACTTCAGGGTCATACACAGTAACCAACTCATTTGTTGAAGCTATAGGAGATGGCAATAAGAAATTTGCTCCTGACTCCTATATAGCAGAAGAATATTAGTTACAATTATGAATTTTTATTCGCACTAGGATGACAATTCATGTTACAATAACAATTACTGCTTAGATCCCATTGTATCATACCTACTTTTCTTTCTTAATATGCCCCAAGCAAATGTCTACTCATCTACTTTTCTAATTTAAACACCACTTACTCCATAAATTTCCCAAATTTACCCTTTTATTTTTTCAGATTAACCTTTACCCTATTGGTTTCTTTAAAAGCATGTCCAACACGAGTGATATTACATGTTGGCATGGAAGAGTATCATTAAAAGCTGTTAGTGAGGAACGTTTGGTACTTGAAAATAACAAAAAAAATATAATATGCAGTAATAGCACAATGGTGCAATCAGACAATTAGTACTATATCAGGCTGGTGATTTGGTGAATACTAAGAAGTAACAACTGAAGGGAAACTATGAAATCAAATGCAACCAAGTGAACCAGCTAGCAAAAATTTCACATCAACATCCATTATTGTATTAACGTTACATAACAAGTCAAAGAATGTGCTGGGAGAGCAGGAAATATAACCATCTAAGCTAGGGGTATTAATAATTATTTAACTTAGACTCCGTAATAAGAATCCTAACTGACTTTTGATTGCAGTGGGAATGGACATCAGAGTATATAAAACTGTTTATTTAAAGAGCTACCTGAAAAACAACTCTGTGTTCAAAACTGCTAAAATCAACAACCAGGTATATGTGAGAACTTCCATTGTTATTGTTTTCTCGTTCCTTGATTTTCTCCATGGCTTTGAAGGCAAGGCGATCCAGCCAATCAACTCGTTGGATCTGCCCACGCTCATACTTATTCACAAGCTTTTCCAAGCGCTCCAATTCCCCGCGTTCCTTCTTTGGAACCTAATGGAGTCAAATCATGGTTAGAAGTTTAGAACATAAGCCAACGTAACACTGAAAAAAGCTTATGAATTAATAAAATTAAATAAAAAATACTGCAGTCTAGAAAAATAAGATTAGTGGAAACCTTCCCTGGAGTCGTTGTATGGATAGACCCATCTGCCTCAATACCAGACCAAAGCCTAAGTTTATGCTTCCCTGTTTTCAGTTGTTTTTTCATGTTAAAAAGATGCATAGTAGCCCCACCAATAACTCCTTCACTCTTTCCACGTGAAACATCCCAAACCTGCATTATCACAATATGAGTTATCAAAAACGACTAAACAAAAGCTTGCTACAACTACCATTTTATTGTAGGTACAATGGGTTCTTTGGAATGTAATCTGATCCAGAATTTGCACACACTATTTTAGAATACCCGCTTTCTAATACAGAAGTATCTTCAATATTTATGTAGGCTATACAAAGTATTATGTTTACTAATTTTGTCTTATCTTTGCACTAAAACAAAGTTGAGAGACCAAATTGTTGAAGAAAATAGAGAAAAACTAGTTTGGACAGCCAAAAATGATTATATCGAATTTGAGTGCCACGACTGCAGATTAAAATATGAATCTGAAAGAGTGAAGGACCAACCAAATCGAGCTATTTTTAATGAAAAAGTCACTTCAAACTGCTATAGGATGGATTTTTCTGCAAAAGAACAATTGTATAACCAAAACCAATTTACTCACTGTAAGCGCAAGCTGTGAATTTGCAGTTAAGTCTCTATACTTCGTGCTCAATGTGATAAGCTCATTCCAGCAGTAAGATGGACCTCTAGATTCCAGTCTGCAACCAAATAATATCAATTATCTGACCAAAGACAAGTGACAGAAGCTCTAGATCAGGCCATTTAAGAGAAACCTAGTTCTCATGGGAAGTCCAAAGGGAGCACCATCAATGTACAATGTGCTCTCTACATATAGCTCATGCTCCATTTCGTCAATTGTATTGATAGTATCCACATCACCTGAGAAATCAGAAAAGATGAAAAACGATTAGACTAGAACATGCCAAAATCGAACCATTCAGGCAATTCAATGTTGTAGACTAATTGGAGGAGGCATGGAGGAGGAGGGGAAGACCTCGGCTCCAAAAAAAAATATTTATACGCTATAAAAGAACATGTTCAAATATCAAGCAGAAGTCCAAGTATAAAATTTTCAAGCTTCTGGCCCTTACACAATACAACGTATTTCTTTGTACTAAAAATTAACGGTAACGAAAATCAGTTGATCAATCAAACCTGAACCATGGGGCTTAGACGGAGGAACTTTTCCTTCGATCCGTTCAATTCGGAACGTAACTGGAAGATTGATGTCGCATGATAAGAAAAACCTGAACTCGTTTCCACTCATTGTTGTCCTTACAGCTTGATTAGGGTTCAGAAGACGTAGCTTTCACAGGCTTGCATGCCTAACTTGGGTTCCAGGTGGAGCGCCGGCGTCGGAACCTCACTCATGCGTCGGATCGGGGAGAACAGATAAAACTTGCCGTTAACGGCTTCATGGAAGCAGGACTTCAGTACTCCACTATAGGGATTGCGGCTTAACGGCTGCGCAGCTAGACTTTACCAGTTTAGGATGTTTTTTGGGAAAACTCTCAAATAGTCCCCTCTCAAATAGTCCCATGTTGTTCAATTAAGTCCTTCTAGGAGGTTCTGTCCGGTCGTCGCTATTTGGGGCAGTTCCCGGTGTAAGTTTTTGATGAAATTTTTTGAGCATCTTATTCACCAAGTCTAGTTTATTCATACCAAATTTCAGCTAAAAATTCAATCGGGAACACATTCAAATTAATTCTTGAAGATAACTGCGCATTTTTGCGTTCTCGAATTAATTTGAATGCGCTCCCGATTAAATTTTTAGCTGAAATTTGGTATGAGTAAACTAGACTTGATGAATAAGATGCTCAAAACATTTCCTCAAAAAATTCCACCGGGAACTGCCCCAAATCACGACGACCGGACAGAGTCTCCTATAGAAGGACTTAATTGATTTTTTTTATGTAAGTTTGAGGACCTACACACTCATATTAGATTAAATAGACTAGATTAGAGATCACACTTTAACAAATCATATCAGACCAGATTTGGACGAGTTGGTATATCGTGGGAGCGGTTCACGGTGAGCATCCTGCTCTTGAAGTAATGTAACTCATGTAACTTGAGTAATGTAACTCACATCGATAAGAAATGTAACTTGAGTCAAGTTAAAACGTAAGTTGTCTAAAACAGAATATAACATTAATTCCAATGTAAATAATGAGAAAAGAAGTCTAAGTGCCCAATTATTTTACATAAATAGTGTATATGTTTTGTTTTTAATATTAAGGCTATAAAATGTATTTTTATAAAAATAATTTTTCTTTGAACAACATAGGTTTATTTTGTTGTGTAACTCGCATTATATTGTAGTCTAACTCGCATTATGAAAAATGTAAATCACGTGTAAGCAGGATGTACCATGCTGAGGAAAGTTGATATGTAACTCGCGTTAATAGATATGTAACCTGAGATGAATGAAAATGTAAATTGTTTTAATACAAATGTAACTTTTCTAAGGTGAATGAACATGTAACTACAAAAACATTTGGCTTTCTCCTGCAGAAACCCAATCCCAATCCCCTGCGGTAACTTTTCCATGGATGGCAATCCCACCTTTAGGAGCCCTAATTTCAGAGAAATCCAATCCCCTGCAGAAACTCATCCCAATCCCAATCCCTCGCAATAACTTTTCCAAACATTTATTGGAGATGGATTCGAAGAATCGAGAGGAGATTATGAAGCTTGTATGTGTTGAGCTTAGAAATCATGGAATCGACCCACGATGGGAGATCTGAAGGGTTGTAGTGGACTGTTTCCGATGTAAAATTCGACAACTAGCTCGTCTTGCTTAACATTACACAACACCTCTTCAAGCTGCTGAAGCTTCTGCGCAACCTCCACCATGTTAGATGACCTGACCTTGTACCCCAAAACCGCCAAGAGCTCGTCCATCCCGGTGTCCAGCTCGCTCTCGCAAGCATCATAGCGCTTCCCGCAGCCACCCATGGCGACGGCGCTGCCGCCAGTCCGCCACCGACAGAAAAAGAGTCTTGGAAAAAGTTTTGATTGAACGAGTCTCTGTTCATCATCTCTCAAGTGGGAAGAGGATGGCTGATTTTTATCGATTAAAACAACACCGTTTGGGATCAGCACACCATGCGCAAGGTGGGCCGATCCCACGGTATAATTTGCCGATTTGGACAGTTTTAAAATACATAGAGATCATATATTTACCAGACCAAACGAGACCAATTCAGACTAGACTAAACTTAAACACATCAAACCAGATCAGATCAGACAAGATCTGACTAGCAAATTTCAGTACAAAAAAAAACATCCTTAGTAAACGTACCATCTTTTAACTACGTATCAATTGAGATTTTACTAGGGTTAATTCCTTTAATAGGAGTAAATAAATGTTAAATTATCAAAATAGAAGTTATGATACTGAATATGTAGTTGGATAGAGAAAAATCACCCAAGTTTGGACACACATAGCAATGGAGTGTTTGAGTTTGTTTTTACTTTTAAAAAGTGATTTATTTAAATGATTTTAGAAAAAGTATTTTGTAGTAAAAGTTGATAGTATTTTGAAAATAAAGTGATTATGATGAAAATGTAAAAGTCAGAGTGTTTGATGAACGAATTGATTTTTGATGTACTACTACGTATCTTGTAAAAATGCAAACATACCCGTACATATATATACATATATACTCACAAAAAATCTGTGCTGCACATGCATATACGTTAATACATACTCCCTCCGTTCCGCTAAGATTGTCCCATTTTACCTTTTCGGGAAATCCCACTAAGATTGTCTCATACCATATTTGGTAACGTTTGTGTGGCTCATAATCATTCTTACTTTATCAATTCAACATCAACCACATAAACCCACTTTTCTTAATAACCGTATCACCTTCCGTCTCAATGTTAGTGGGACGGAGGTAGTACATTAGTACTATATATAAATATACTCATAAATTATAGGGAGGACTATAAAATAAGCTCTCGAACTTTCATAAAAAGTGCAAATAAGCCCTTTTACAGGAGTCTTTGTCCGGCTGTCGCCATTGGGGCAGTTTCCGGTGGAAGTTTTTGATGAAATTTTTGAACATCTTCTTCATTAAGTCTAGTTTATTCATACTAAATTTCGGCTAAAAATTCAATCGAGAAGGGAGTCAAATGATTTTCGGAAACATACTGTGTTATCTAACTGAGTAGTTATCTTCAAAAATTCTTTTGACTGTCTTCCCGTTTGAATTTTTAGCTGAAATTTGGTATGAAATTTCATTAAAAAAATTCACCGGAAACCGCCCCAAATGACGACGGCCGGACAGAACCTCCTATAAAAGGGCTTATTTGCACTTTTTATAAAAGTTCGAGGGCTTATTTGGTAGTTGTCCCTAAATTATACTACCACACACATTGAATTTCCTTCAAGCTTGAGACCAATGGCAAAATTCATTGTATCCTCATAAAGTTAATTCATGTCGGGTTCCATTTTCTGTATAGCAGCCTTTCTATTTCCACATGAAGAAGATGACTGTGGTGATGTTGCAGAGCTTTCCCTTATATCCAATCGGCGTCTCAATGCCGCAAGGGTTGCACGGCTGGTCCGCCACGAACCATATCGGGGTTGCACGTCAGCACGTATACGGAGATTACACACACATATATAATCATCGGAAGCAATCACCGTCCCTTCGAATTGGAGCAGCTCTTCCGACGATGGATCGATATTTGCTTTCGGTCACTACTCAACTAGGGAAGATGAATACAGGAGACAGTACACCTCATCATGACTATCCTCAGTTAGAAGCATCCTCTTCCAGCTCTAAGAGTGTGTTTGTAACTGATTCTGCTTCTGCTTCTTTTTTAAAAGTAGAAACAGAATCAGAATTAGTTTTCAGAAGTTGGTCACCCCCAGCTTCTAAAAAAACTGATTCTAAGAGTAAATTATAGCACCAAAATCACATTGCACTTTCACCAAAACACTCCAACTTCTGCTTCTGCTCCCTGAAGGAGCAGAAGCAGTTTTAAGAATCAGATCCAAACACCCCCTAACTTTTGGCTTTTAAAGTGCTTTTTATTAATTAGGAGTCTATTTGGTAACACTAAAATTGGCTGAATTGTCTGATTCTGCTGAAATTTATGAAGTTCTGGTTGAAGTAACTGTATTGACTGATTTTGATGATTCATGAAAAAATTATATTTACAATATTTGTTATTAATAAATTAAATAAAAAACTATATGAAAAATAGTTAAAATGATTCTCTACAGCAACTTCAGCCAATACAGCCAAAAAAGTAACTTCAACCTTACTTTTTCTGTTTATTACAAACTTCAGCGCGCGAAATCAAAAACTATTTGTTTGTTGAAAAAGTTGGCTGATAAACCTGAAAAACCGAAAAAAAGGTTACCAAACAGACTCTAGAAGTAGGTATTAGTAAACACTTTTTTAGCTTATTTTTAAGTTAAAAGCTAAGAAGTTCTTATGGTAAGTGTTGGCAAACACTGCTCTACTCTTGCCAACACAATGATGCATGCCGCTACCGCTGCAAATTCGGTTGTTGCTGCCACTGCATATCTGGATCGTCATTGGAGCTACACCGTCACCGTCGAACTGATCCCGTCACCAACAGACTTATCTTGATTACGATAGAGAACTAGGGGGCAATTATTTATATTAGAAGGACAAATATGAAATAAAAGTCCTTTTTAGGGGAAAAAAATATATCTACTTCTATTTAGGAATTTATGCAACTACTTAGTCTAAATAAATTCAACTTTTTCTATCCACTTGAATTTTACATTATTTTAATTTAAATGTGTTTGGCGCCATGAAGTAACGGCACATGTATTAATACCGGTGTTTTCAAATTTTTTGAGAGAATCGACTTATGTTATAATATCATAAACCAAGCAGTTAACAACAAGATCAAACTCTTGAAACATGCCAGTAAGACCAGAACACATAGACTGATCATCCTCCCTTGGACCAGAGTCTGAGTCAATCACCCACTCAGGAGCAATATGATTCGCTAATCCCCGTATGGGCAATTGTAAGCCAATCATGATCGATCCGATATCCTTGTCACTTACCCTAATTTGAGCTTAACTCACAACAAAAATTAAGACCAACTGAAAGTCATACTGGGCAAAAACAACCCAACAAAAACAAAAACTAAAATCCTTAAATGAAAGAAAAACAACAAAAACATATAATTTAAATAAATAAACTTTCAGAGTAGACCTAGGCGAGCCTAGAGTCCTAGGCCCGCCTATTCCACGTTTTTTGGCTCGTCCACAATCACAACTCCTCAACTGGATCTTTCAGTTCATGATTCTCTGCCATTCACCTCCTGTTTGGCTCCCCCACGCGACAAGCAATTGTCCCTGAATTTAAACTCTGTGAAGTCGCCCCTTGCAGCAGAACCACGACTGCATCTGACTCTTGAACCCCACCAACAATACTTTCTGCATACCCCCCCCCCGTCACCCCGCATTTAGGCTCCCCACGCCCAACTACGTGTACATCATATTTGACTAACCATTTGTTCCCCACAATTACTCTACCCCTATCACCACCAGCTCGAAGCCACGGACCATATGGTTTAACTAGCTCACCTTCTCCCTTTTTCGTACATCGAAGGACATAAGCGATATGTATGACCAATTAGGCCACATTAATCCTCAAATTGGCTTTCTTCTACTTTAATTAATTTTTCTAAAAAATTCCCAATACTTTTGGCAACTTTCATAGAGAAAAAGTCCATGGATAGATTGTAAACTTGAACCCAAAAATCCTCATTAGTTATGGAAACCCTAAAGGGCAAATCACCTAGCTATAAAGCATGGATAACTAAGAAGTTTTGTTCGAACAACTAAGGACCATTTTCAAGAACATGTTTCATATCAATCACATGGAAGAAGGTAAAAAGGTACACTTTTTCACCAATTTCCTTGATTGAGACTCCTTTAACTGGGCACCAGATTGAGACCATAACATCTCTAAAGTAATGGAATTTTACCCTTTTTTGGTCACTAGGGTTTCAACAACCGAGAACCTTGCCCCACTGCCATTGATCTCCATCCGCATGTTCCGCTCCAATCTCAATAGTGATACTTAGGGGTGGGAAAAACCGAACCGAAACCCGAAACCCGACCCGGGCCCGGACCGAAAAATGTTACCGGGCCGATTTTTTTTATTTTTGACGGGCGAGTTAAAAAAACCCGGACCGAACCCGAAATTCCGGACCCAAATCCGGTCCCTAAAATTACAAACCGGCCCGGGCCGGCCAAAACCCGGCCCGAATATTTCATTATAATTTATTATAAAAAATTAAGATATTATATGGAAACAAGTTCAAATACTCACTTGGTGTCTTCTAATTTGTTTTGTTTTTTAATCCATCTTAAAGAGAAACATCATTTTGTCAGAACTTTGTTCTCTTAAGTCTTAAGTATGAATTTTTGCTTTTGGGATTTTGCTATTATTTATGTTTGGCTCTTCATGAGTGTTTTGGATCAATACTTTTATTGTGTTGGAAATTGAAATATGGTTGCTTTATAGCCTTTGAATTATTGATTAAATAGATTTGCTTTGACTATAATAGAAAGTGTGAAGGTTGAATCGATTTGATTGATTATCGAACATTTTTTTGAATACTTTTTTTTAATAAAAACAATGATATTTTTTTATTGAGCTTTAACCGACCCTACCCGAACCCGGACCGAACCCGAGCCTCAAAAAACCCGGTTCGGACTGAATATGTCGGGCATTTTTCCGGTCCCATATTTTCATAACCCGAGAAGTTTCGGGTAATTTCCGGGTAGAGCAAAAACCCGACCCAGCCCGGACCGATCTCACCCCTAGACTGATACCATTGCTTTCCTCCTCTAAAACCAGCCCTTTATAGTATGTCGCAAACTCGTCCATTGTTGCCACTCCTACATATGGGTGGACTGGGCCAGGTTCGGGTCGGGCTCCAACCCGGGCTCTGGGCCCCAAAACATCAGGCTCGGTACCCGGCCCGGGTTTGTACTGAGACCGGGCCAGGTCAAGTCTTATTGTTTTTTAATTTTTTTATCTTTTCAGATTAATTCCCCTCTCCCAGACCACCCCCAACCCCCAACCCCCCACCCCCCAAATCGCCTAGCCCCACCCACCTAGCAGCCAATCCAATGGGAAAAAATTTTAAAAAAAAGTAATTGGGCACGATCCGGCCGATCCGGTCCACCATTTTTGGATCTCGTAGTCCGTCTGCTGAATCCCCGATTCAGGCCCCGGTCGCGGTCCCGATCCTGGCTCTGGCCCAAACAGGCTCCTTCAGTGACCGGTCGCAAACCCATTAGCCAATTCGCCAATGTAACGGAATCGTGATGTCCGTGCCTCAGTGGCCTTGTTTTTAGTTTTTATTTATATTTTAATTTTTACTTTTTAATAAATTCTCAATCCTCTCCTTTCTTTTCCTCTGCTTCAATTGCATCTTCCGCCTCAGTGATTTCCAGATTTTCCGCTTCGGGCTGTCCGAGCTCGGACGCATATATACTGTAATACTGAGAAGGACGTGAAGGTCAAATCTCACGGCGAATATAAACTCGAGTTGTTTTCGCCTCATAGGAATGACAGTGGTAGCTGGCACTCGCTTGGTTTCTCCGCCAGACTGGATTTCCAGGGAGTCAGGGACTGGATTGGATTACTGGCCTCAGGCGGCACAATTTCTTCTACTTTAACGATGTTCATTGGGAAGAGAAAACTAGGAGGGCAAGGAGCTAACAGCCACCATCTCTATCAGTGACCTTCACGGCCGCAATGATGTCTTCGGTAGTAATCAATTTATCTTGGTCCAAAAAGGTGGAATCTCCCACCCCAGGAGCCCCATACCCCGATCCGACAGGATTTTTGGGAGAATGTTAATCACGGTGACTCAGTCGGCCCAATGATGGTAGACGTTTTTCCCGTGCTCACCAGAGACTCAGCCTTATTTCAGGTTCTGTGACCTCCACACGGCCGCTGGGTTTCGAACCTTGGTCACTTGATCCAAATTTCCCACCACTGAACCAACTGAGCTACCCGTGCGGGTAATTAATCAATTTATCTTTTATACTTTTATACTCCAATTGAAACATGGGACATAGGGATGGACTGGGCCAGTTCCGAGCCAGGTCAGGGTGGACTCCAAGCCCAAAAATGGCAGGCCCGGTACCGGCCCGGGTTTTTACCAGAACCGGGTCGCGCTCCGGTCCGGGCCAGGTCAAGCCTTAAATATATATTTTTTATTTTTCTTTTCAAATTAATTCCAAAAAAAAAACCACCCTTGAAGCCCACCCAAAACGCCCAGCCACACTCACCTAGAAGCCAGCCCAATAGGAAGAAAATTAAAAAAAAAATCAATTGGGCCCATGCCAGGCCTGCACAATACCAGGCTGGGCCGCGCCCTGGGTCCTAATTAGAGATGGACCCGGGCTGGTCCGGTTCCGGTTCCGGGCCGGGCCCGAGCGGGCTGTTTTTGCAAATCCTTGAGCCCGAAACAGGCTCGGGTTGATACCAGGTCCGGGCCAAGCCCGGTTCAATGTCTATTTTTTTTTGCTTTCTTGTTATCCCCCTCACCCCACCCCCAAACCTCCCCAAAACACCCAGCCCTACCCTAGGAAAAGAAAAAAAAATGAAAAAAAAAATTGACCCGGCCCAGCCCGAACCACCCGGGCCGGTTCGCCCAAAACTGGGCCCGACCCCGACCCGCCCAAACGGGCTAAAAGCCCAGAACCGGCCAACCGGTCCCGGCCCACACAGTAGCGGGCTGGACCGGTTCCGGGCCGGCCCGGTTTAGTCCATCCCTAGTCCTAATGGGACTGAAAGGAGAGAGTGGTTGCCTAATAGTCTGATGTGGTATATCAGTATATGGCAGCATGGCCTAAAACTCTGAACACAAAGATGTCGTGGATATACAGTCAGCAACAACAATGCAGGTGAATGGACAAATATATTCATGTCATCCTAAATGGCCTGAGAAACCGGAGAGTAAGCTCCAAAATAGAGGAATTGGGTGTGTTTACAACTTTCGAAGTTTCGGGGGCTGATTGGGGTTTTTGAAAGTACAAGGATTTAATTTCTGTTTTTCATAAAATGCAAGGGCTTATTTGAAAGTTAATACTATAGTCAATACACTTATGTTACATTTTTTGTAAATAACCTTTATTTCAGTAATAATAATAATAATATCAGTAACCAACATTTATTTTCAACAAATGATGAATTAAGCCCGGCACTTATGGAGAATGTAGATACTCTATAATATACAATGCTAAGGTAATCTTGGAAATTTAGAGAAATCGGGTCGTCTGCGTTGCACATAGGCATTTTTTCCCTCATTGCCTTCATCAGTTCCATAAAATAGCAGTGTTGCATCTCCTCCCAGCCCCTGAATCAGATCCATAAAGAGTTAACTGCATTGACCCATTCCCATTTCACATACATATAGTCATATACTAAAGCTTCTTTAGATTGACTGTTAGTAATTCTGATTTTTCCAATGTTTGGTGTGATAACTAAAGCTTCGTTAAATTTTATGCATTCCTTTGGATAATGACTTTTTATATACTGATCAGCTTTGTTTTTCAGTTTTATGGATCAAACTTTATTTAAATTAATACATATACGGAATAATAGCTATTGTTCTGATAGGCAAAATGGACCGCGTAAAAACGATAATATTTTAAAGTAGTAGTAGGGTTTAAATAAGACAAACTTACAAGAACCTAATTCATGTGGACCACAAGCAATGAGTCTTTACACCACATCTATTGCATGTTATATCCTCTAAAAAGGTGATGCTTGGGATCAATATGGAAGTGATACCTGAAGTCCAGCATGTCCATCATCGACAGCGTTGAGAGCTGATTTAAGGACCCGAATAGCAGTAGGACTATTTCTTAGCATCTCACGACACCATTTTATAGTTTCTTGTTCCAGCTTATCTAACTGATGAAAGACAACCACACAATGCATTAGTTTATCAAACAAAGCAACTTGAGTACAAAGTCTAAACGCTCTGCTTCTTCTTCTACTGGCAGTGTTGCTGAAAAACTGTGTTCCTGATATCCTTAACCACATTCTAAGGTTGCTATAATGGCACGTTTCTGGTTTATCTATGGATCAACTTACCGGGACAACAGTGTTTACAAGTCCCATTTTCTCCGCTTCAGTAGACGTATAAAACCTTGTCAAAAACCACATTTCACGAGCCTTCTTTGGGCCAACCTGTCCAACCAAGTGAGTAAATATGACAGCTTCAAAAGCAGTTGCCATTTTCGACATAAGGCCCTTAAAAGAGCAGGAGACTTAATTTTATGTTCACAGTCGCTTTTAGGCCTGTTTTGAACTCGGAAATGATACGGCCCAAAAAATATGGGGGAAATAGATGGTAAGTTGGAACAGAAAGAAAATACAGTGAAGAATTAAAAAATCAAACTCGATATATCAAATTTAAATATTTGTTCAAAAACATTTTATTTATAAAATCCAATTATTTAAATACTAGAAAGCTATTCACTTGTAAACTAATTTTAATTAAAACGGATTTTCCTTCAATTTAACTGGGAGGTAAAACTAAACATTAAGAAAATCATTTTACTTTGGATTTTTTTCCTTTACCAACCATTTCTCGAGTTCCAAACATGGCCCAAATGAAAAGAAACAGTGAAAACCTAGCATATTCTATTTATCTCACCAAACGGGACATTATGGAACTCCCATAGCCAGCATCAAAGCTCCCTACCTGCAATGTGTACAAAAAGAACAGTGTTTGTGTCAACTATAGGGTATTGTATTTCCTGATGTGCATGTTGGGTCTACAAACTTTTTTGAAAGAGAAAACTGTCAAATAGGACCACTTACTTTTCCCAAAAAGTCAATTGAGTGCATGTACTATTTTTCGAGTCAATTAAGTCCACAAACTATCAAAAAGCGACCAAATTGACTATTTAATAGGTAGTCAACCGGTAAACCACCTACGTGGACGTCCAGCTGGGATTTTTTTAGTCTTTTCTACTTTTTTTATTTTTAATTTCTTTTCCTTTTTCTTTTTCCATTTCTTTTGCATCTCCAACTCCATCTTCCTGCTCTGCAACTACCGATCTATGGAGGAGGTTGTGGTGGGTATGGTGGTAAGGGCAGCAGAGGTGGTGGCTATGGAAGCCGGCGTGGCTGGAGGTCGATTTAATGGAGGAGGCGAAGGGGGAGGCCACAGAGGTGGTGGCCGGAGGCAGTGTGTATGGTGGAAGGGGTTGTTGAGGTGAGGTGGAGGTCGGATTTCAGAGGCATTGGCTATGGAGGCTGGGCGACGGAGATAGCGACTAGAGAGGCTGGGAGACGGAATTCGTTCCAGTGGGAGTGTGGCGGAGGCAACAAAAATGGAAGAAAGTGGCCGGAGTTCTGGTCGAGACAAGAACGAAAGAAAGAAACAAACAAGAGGGAGAAGCGGACTGGCCTGGGAAAGGAGAAGAGCGGACCAGAGGAAGAAAGAAGAAAGAGAAAAAAAGTTAAAAAAGGAAGAGAGGAAAAAAAGAAAAAGGAGAAGAAAGAAAATTAAAAAAATGAAAAACAGTATAAAAGACACCTCGGACATCCGCGTAGGCGGTTAACCGGGTAACCGGTTGACTACATATTAAACAGTCGATTTGGTCATTTTATGATAGTTCGCGGACTTGATTGACTCGAAAAAAAGTACATGAACTCAATTGACTTTTTGTTAAAAGTACGTGAACCTATTTGACATTTTTCCCTTTTTGAAATTTTCATCTCATTATTCCCTTGTGAGAAGGTCATGGAAACATCCAATATAAACTTTGTCTCCATGCTTTTAAAAATGTGTTTTAAGTGAACTGATTAGCATTTGACACTAAATTTCATGTCAAGGACCCCAACATAAGGCATGAGCTTGGACTTGGGCAATGATGAAACTTCAATGGTGGAAGTAACGTAACAGGTACAATATGGTGGAAAGTGTGAGCAGACCTTTGGTCCCGTCTGACCAAACATAGCATTATCAGCTGCAATTGTGAGGTCACAAACCATGTGCAACACATTTCCTCCCCCAACAGCATAACCTGCAACCTTTTTTGGAGAAGACAGAGAGCATGTTACCAAGGTTAATCTCATATTCTCACAAATAGTAGCCTGGAATAAGGCTCAGAATGTTCTCAACTAATATACAAGTAAACATTTTACCATCGCAATTACTGGTTTTGGAAGTCGACGAATCTGAACCTGCAATATGATGTAAACAATGGTAAATAAGCCCCAAAAAACCTATGTCAAAATGAAGTCATAAATCAGGTGCTGATAACATGAAACCAGCTGCAATGCAAAGTTTTTACACCAAATTTTACTCCTCTAGGTTCAAATAACGTTGTGCTGTAAACATGAAACAACAATGTTGAAAACACAATCAATAGACATCTCATGCTAGGCACAACAACAAAATATCAAAATTGTATTGGAATATGGTTACTAACGAATCCCTCCATCTAAAAAAAGAGCCTCGTGTGAGTATCGTACACTTTTTATTTTAATCAACTCAATCAAATTACAAGCTTTGACAAGTTATGAATGATCGGTCATTATTATTTATTACTACTACATAGTTTCTTTTGTCCTCAATTCATTCGATAAAGAGTATTATTTGAGTTAATATTCTTAAAACATATTTCCAAGATTGTTGGAGTAATTGACTAAAACTACTTGTCAATTAGCATTACAGAAATCTTTTAAAAAAGGAGACAGAGATTGTATAAATTAAAATTCACAGTTTAAAATATTGCCTCTGTTTGCTTGTGCTAAACTTAAGGTTTAACAATATTCTAGTAGCAGATGGTAGCCAAGGGTAACAAAGCAGTGCATTGTGATTTGTGCAACCAGTAAGCACCATGCAGTAAAGACACAGTTCCGATACTACACAAGCAATAAATACTAAAGCCCTGAAGTTTCACCTGTAAATCCAAAACATTGAGACGGCCAAAATTTTCATAATCAGCATAGCCATCCTTATTTCTTAATGCCTGATCACCCCCACTGCAGAAGGCCTTAGTCCCCTGCGTATGGAAAAATATAATAATAAATGACAAGTTCATTAGTGATACACTTATACACGGCTTTTAAAAGTAAAAAACTGGAGGATTCATGAAATATTTAACTGACAAATCATCAATCAAAGACCTATAAGACATCGGTGCTTGGTTGACCTATGGAGTTACCTTCCCTGTGAGGATGATGACCCCAATAGAACCATCATCCCTGGCATCATTAAATGCACGAATAAGTTCCTTGATTGTGTGAGGCCTGAAAGCATTTCTCCTTTCTGGTCTATTAATGGTAATCTGTGGAGGAAAAAAAGGCAAATACATATTACAAGAAATAATGACAAATAAAGGGCAGCCCGGTGAACACTGACATCCCCGCAAAGTGAGAGATTGGGGAAGGGTCTGACCACAAATCCACAATAGGTCACTCCCAAGTCTCCAACCCGTGACCTATCGGTCACACAATAGCACCTTAACTGATGCACCAAAACTCCCATTCATATGACAACAACAAGTATATGACTATTAAGTATTAAGGAGTATAAAATATTTACAAAACTGACTTTTGTGGTGTCTGTAGTAAGTAGCAACCATAATGGTATAGTTTAAAGTACAATAGTGGTCATACGGTTTATTTTTTTCCACTAGTTTGTTTCTAGGAAGCATGGAAGCGTGAAATGGGGGAGGTTTCCGTCCCGGAAACGTTTCGGAAACGCGAAACGCCGGGAAACGCCGGGAAACGTCGTGGAAACGTCGGGAAACATTTCTGAGGTGTTGGGCTGTTGGGCCGGGTTGGGAAAACGTTTCGGAAACGGCACTGGGTATGGGCCGACACATTTCTTCAGAAAACTAAAAAAAGGGTTGGGCTGTTGATCGAAGCTTACCTCTCTGCGAGTCTGATTCTGCGAAGTGCGAAGAGCCGAAAACTTCGAACGAAGTGCGAAGGGTTATTTGCGAAGGGTTGTTGCTTCAAGCCTCAGAACGAGACAGAGACCATCGACCATCGTCATCGCCTGGACTCCAGGGAGGCAGGGAGTGCTGCCGTGCTGGTTCGCTACTTCACTAGACAGGTCCGAAGAGAAGGCTTTGGTTTTTGGGTGAGATGATTCTCTCTTCAATTTCAATTGTTTCCAAGTTCTAGTAAGTACGGATCTTTCTTTATACTCAAATATGGAACTTACTTCAGAAGTAAGACATGCATTACTTATATTTGTAAAAAAATTAATTTTTAGTTTGACGTTTCCTTGCCTTTCCTTATATTTTGAGTTAAGCGTTTCCCTGTCCCCATTTCCGTTTCCGTTTCCGTCCCGGTGCTACTTAGGTTTGTTTTAGTAACAACATGACATAGGAAAACCCTATAAGGTCATAACGCAATCTAATTACTTTATAAGCAAGATGATGCTCACCTTAACAAATACTACCTCTGTTCTTAGATAATTGCAACATGTTTAATTTTACAATATTCACATGGTCTACTTTGACTACATTTTCTTTACTAATGCATTTGAAATTTAATTTTGAAAAAATTTATGTAGTATTAAATTCTTCTCATGTTAAACTTTCAAAATGTATTTTTTAAATTTTTTTACTGACAGAGAATTAAATATATTAATCATCAAAGTTGTTTTTGGAAAACGTGAAAATGGAAGTTGTGCAACTAAGAGTATGAAAGACGTATAAGTCTCTCTCCGACACTCCCTCTCTAACCAACAATAAAACTGTTATCAGTATTCTTGCTTACAATATAACTAGTAACTACAATATTATAAGTCGAACCTAGAAAGTAAACAACCATGGAAATAATATTGAGTTATTTTTAAAAATAGTACTCCGTAATAAAGTACACCTTATTTACAAAAAATATGACTAATAGCTAATATGGTATATAGTGTCATGGTCACTTAAGTGTAAAAATTAAACGATCTTTATTTTAATCATAAATATGTAATTATTTCAATAATATAATTACAAGTCTAAAAGAAAATAAGGGAACCTCACATTTAAAGTCTGATGAACAACTTAACTACTTCCTTTGTACGAAACTTAGAAACTTTCTTGCTGGGTTGCTAACAATTAATTAAAGATTTTGTAAGACACAATGCGACATCCTGACGGAAGATGGGTACTTGGAGCGTAGACAGGCCTTTATACGTTGGTAGGTGCAGTTCATCAGTTGCAATTCGATATTTGGTGGGTTTTGATGGCTTAACACTTAATACTTGACTGCCATTTTAGCTTTTGCAATTAGAAGATTGAAAAGCCATAGTACTGCACATTTGAAATAGAGAGCACAATATACCTTAGCAATGGCTTCCCCGACTGCCTTCTCGTAGATGATATCAGTGAACTCTTTGCCAGACTCATCCGAGGGAACCAATCTCCAAACGGGCCCGTGACTGGGGACTTCGCCGTGAACTTTGTGGTAGCTATCGTTCATGGAAGAGCTGCAACTCGACCAGCGAATTGAAGGAGGAGAGGACGGACTTGGTTGCGTCGGAGAGAGGTGGTTTGCAATGGACGCCATCCTCCGTGCGACGGAGTTGGTAAGGCCCTGCTCTGAAGCTCCCACCATTGCTCCGCGTAGTTAGCTAGCTCTGCAGGTTCCATAAATCGTGAAGAAAAAACAAGGGTTTGAATAGCGATTGGTGCGTTTATGGCGATGTAGATTGTGGTATGTGGATGCTCGAAGTAGATAGGAGATAAGGTGATCGGACAATATTAGAGGGCATTTGGAAAAAACTCGGTAATTATTTGCATGCTGAAGTGTAAAATAATTACCCCCTAGACAAACGTTTTCACTTGGGGACGAATTTTGTTTGTTAGTAGAGGGGTGAAAAAAAATCGCCAGTGTATCGCGCCAATTTTTTCCGCTTGTGTAGCGGGGCTGTTAGAAGGAACAGATCTAGGATTTCGGGTCAAGGGGGGCGATATTTTTTTCAATAGTGTAGGGGGTGAAATTTTCTTTGCTTGTGTCGCGGGGCTAATTTTTTCCCATAGTGTAGCACACCGGGTGAATTTTTTTCACTAGCATAGGGTTCTGTAGTTTTTTTATTCAAAAGTTTTCATTAATACATACGTGACGACATTTAAATCTATTACATTCTAAGTTTAAACAATTGAAAGATAATTTTGATTTTATAATTGAACTATTGAAGTGCTCTAGAAAAACTTGATACATTAAAGCGTAAGAAATCGCAAATAAAGTAAAATTATTTAAAAATTGATTTATAACATTTTATCAAATTATTGAACCTAAAGAGTTTAAAAGGCACACATCTACCAATACGTTTTAAATAACTTCTGCATTGTTTAATCACATGAATTTATATCGGGATGAATAATTGGTTTTTGAATTGCAACTTTTGTCTACCAAGGAAGGTGTTCGTGAGTCACGAGGAGTTTTCTTCATATTACAATAGTATGTATGAGATTATTATTTTTATAATAATATTATATTTCTAATTCATATATACGGTGAATATTATATTTGTATTAATGGTAAAACAAGTTAAAGTTTATTTTCTAAAAACTATTTAACTAATGTGTCTGGTATTTAATGTCGTTTGATATTTTATAAAATCAAGTACGAATTATCTAATAAAAATAATTAAACATTACAAAATTAGGAATTTTAAGTAATAAGTATCCTTAGCTTAAACAATGAGTTGTTCTATTGTTTATTTGTTCAAATTATGTAAATTATTTTAGACATTTCTTCCTTTAAATCTCCCATTACGTATTACATTATGTAAGGTTATATATTAACTTTGAAAATTAAAAGTTAAGGGGGGCAAACACATATAAATCTAATTAAAGTAGGAAATTTTTCTGAAAATATTTCATATATAGTAGAAAATTTATATAGTCGAAGGGGCCGCCTCCCCCCCCCCCCCCCCCCCCCCCCATCTTAAATCCATCTTTGTTCAGAGGTGGCGTAATCCTACTACATCAAGTCACACCCGCTTTCAGATGAATTGTCACTAAGTTATTATCAGCCAATACACTTAGTGCCTAGTCCACTTACATAGTGGAAGGATTTTCACGAGCACAACATCACTCCAAGATACTTAGTCCTATCTTCTACAAGGTATTTCACTAATAGCATCGACTTGTTAGAAGCTACTTAGTCCTATCTTCTACAAGGTATTTCACTAATAGCATCAACTTGCTAAGAATTACTCATGTCCTTCTTCTACACTCTCTCTGGATTTGATCACGAATCCCTCTAGAGGTTAGAACTTGTTTAGTTATCAAGATTAAAGCTTATTGGATCAAACTGCTGGGCTTAATGGACCTGTTTACTCTTTTATTTTGTCATTGGGCTTTCTATCTTTTAGCCCATTCATATTAGACCATTAGTATAAATACCTCTTGTATTATTTTATTCAGTAAGTTCTACAATTCAAAACCCTAAGACGTGCTTATCTTCTTCCGCTAATAATCCCAAAAGCTTCGTTCGTTCTTCATCTCCATTTTCGAATTCTGTATAATATTCTTAACATGGTATCAGATTAGCCACAGATTCTGTATCATCTTTCTGAAATCCTATCCTCTCTTCGATTTCTATAATCGATCCTTTTTTTTCGAATCAATCGATTCGTAAAAACCCTAAATTCATCCGCAGAAATCATAAATCGTTTCTTTGAAGATGTCTGTTACCTTTCCTTTAAATCCTCTTGAGGATTCGTCTTCTCCGTACTATCTGCATCCCAGCGATCACGCTGGTACGCATCATCTCAGAAACACTCACCGGAGACAACTTTAATGCTTGGAAGAAATCGGTGACCATGGCTTTCAGCGTGAAAAACAAGATGGCTTTCCTGGACGGTTCTATTTCGCAACCACAGTTGAATGATTCTCACGCTTACTCTGTCTGGTATCGTATCAATGCCTTACTTTTGTCTTGGTTAATTTACTCCATTTCACCTGAAATCCGTTCTACTTTTCTGTATTTTACATCTGCTAAAGAACTATGGGATGAAATACAGCTTAGATACGGTAAGAGTGATGGTCCTAGGATTTTTTTCCTTGAAAAATCTTTAGGCAACATTTCTCAAGGTACTCAAACTGTTACTGCATATTACAATATATTCAAAGGTCTTTGGGATGAATATGTTGATTTCAAAACTCTCCCTCCTTGTACTTGTGATAATTGCACTTGCAAAATAAATGAAAAATATCAGGCTCTCCTTCAAAAGGAATCTGTACAAAAATTTCTTGTTGGTCTAAACGAGTCTTACTCTAATCTGAGAAGTCAAATACTTCTTCAGACCCCCTTTCCTAGTCTCTCTACTGTGTATTCTTTCTTTCTACAAGAAGAAGCCCAAAGAAATCTTCAATATCCTGTTTCATATCCTTCACAAACTTATACTCCTTCTGTCAATGACTCAACTGCCTTTCTTGCTAAAAATCCAAATTATAAAAAGAAACCTTCTGTTACTTGTACTCACTGTGGATTTCAAGGTCATTCAGCTGATAAGTGTTTCCAAATCATTGGATATCCTCCTACCTGGAAAGGTCCTAAAGGACACAGAGTTGCTCCTGGCTTCAAATTACCTCAAAACAATAATAAACCTACTCAGGCTCATCTTGCTAACACTTCTCCTGATTCTCCTTCTAAAGAAATTGACTTATGTGATCCATCTCTTTACAACAAATTCCTTGAGTTCATGAAGAGCCAAAATGACAAAGTTTCTGCTAATGTTGCTATGGCTGTTTCCAACACTGACCAGTCCTCTCCAAATGACTTCAAATACATAGGTAAACATACTGCATTTATTTCTAATATCCCATCTACTATTTGGATTCTTGATACTGGTGCTTCTGATCACATGATTCATGATTATACTCTATATACTTCCACACCTAAAATTGTTTCTATTAAAGTTCAGCTTCCTACTGGAACTTATATTACTGCTACTCATATTGGCAATATTAAACTTAACAGTAATCTTACTTTACATAATGTTCTTTATGTTCCACAATTTAATTTCAATCTTATTTCCATATCTAGCTTAGCATTGCATGAAAATATTTCTGTTCACTTTTCTTCTAATCATGCTATTTTACAGGATCTTCTCACCAACAAAATGATTGGTTGTGCTGATCTACAAAATGGCCTATATCTCTACAGTTCTAATGCATCTTCATTTTCTGTTCATAAATCATACATTACAAATAATGTTCAATCTGAATACTTTTGTTCTCAATCTCACATTTGGCATTACAGATTAGGCCATTTACCTTTTAATAAACTGAATGATCTTGTTGAATGCAATGTTTCTAAACATTTAAATAAAAATACTCCTTGTGATATCTGTCATTTTGCTAAACAAAAAAAATTACCTTTTTCTGTTAGTACTTCTCATGCTTCTAACTCTTTTGATCTTATTCATATGGATGTTTGGGGTCCTTTTAGAGTTCAATCTTATTCTGGTTTTAAATATTTTTTAACTATTGTTGATGATCATACTAGATGTACTTGGGTTTTCATGATGAAAAATAAATCAGAAGTTAAATTTCATATGCAAAATTTTTACAACCTTATTCTTACTCATTTTAACACTAAAATTAAAACTATTAGAACTGATAATGGCACTGAATTTATATTTCCTACTTTTTATTCTAATAATGGTATTGTTCACCAACTTTCTTGTGTTGAAACACCTCAACAGAATTCTAGAGTTGAAAACATCAACATATTTTACAAGTTGCTAGAGCTCTTTTATTTCAATCCTGCTTGCCCATTACTTTTTGGTCTGATTGTGTTCTTACTGCTGTGCATATTATAAATAGGCTTCCTACTGCAGTTTTGAATAATAAATCTCCTTATGAAGTTTTATATAATAAAGTTCCTGATTATTCTCATTTAAGAGTTTTTGGATCTCTTGCTTATGCTTCTACTCTCAACACAGACAGATCTAAATTTGACAATAGAGCTATTAAATGTGTTTTTATTGGTTATCCTTTAGGATCTAAAGGATACAAACTTTATGATATTATCAATCACAAATTTTTTATTTCTAGAAATGTAAAGTTTTATGAAATGACCTTTCCCTATAGAAAAGATTCTATTTCTTCTAAATCAGATAATCATCAATCTGATTCTGATTCTTTAATTCTTCCAAATCATGATTTTTTTGATTATGACATCTCAAATAAAAACAACACTTCTTCTGATATTTTTTTAGAAAATCAAATCAATGATGAACTTAATATCTTTACTATGGATACTTCTATTCAAAATAATGACTCCAATACTTTACAAAATTCTAATATTCCAATAAACCCTGAAGATCATTCACAAAGAAAATCAACAAGGGTAAGATCTTTACCTATTCATCTGCAGGATTACAGTTATGAATTACCTGATTCAATTACTACAGGTACTACTTCTCAGACTTCTTCTTCTTGTAATTTTATAAGATATCCTATTCAAAATCATATTTCTGCTAATAGATTAAGTATTTCTCATTCTTGTTTCACTGCTGCTCTTTCCAACATTACTGAACCTAAAACTTTTAAACAAGCTTCTAAGTTTCCTGAATGGCAGAAAGCTATGTCCTCTGAAATTGATGCTCTTGAGAAAAACAATACTTGGATTTTAGTTAATCTTCCTTCAAATCAGAATATAATAGGTTGCAAATGGGTCTATAAAACTAAACTAAAACCTGATGGATCTTTAGATAGATATAAGGCTAGATT